GCACGGAAGCACAAGGTCGGTAGAGCTATTTCACGCACTTTTGACGCAAGGCAAATGTTGACTCGAAGCAACCGATAGTGCAGTGGAGAGAGGTTTGTTCACAGCAACCGCCCCAGATTCGACACATGTTTCTTACATATCATTTGAAGGCCAAAGTGCGCACAATGTAGCATCAATAATGTGGCATGCCAATGGCCGGAGAAACGGAAACGGTAAGCCACTTGCTTCCACTTCTTCTTGTCTTCCTTATATACGCCCGTACCTTCATCTCTTTACGCAAGCAGTGCATTGTTCCCAATTGTATATGTGATATCCCTAGAGCGTTCATGAACCGCCTTGCTGATCTTGACTGGCGTAGGGGACCTCCGAAGCATTACATCATGACAATGGAGAAGCGCTTGATGGAAACAGAGAATGTTCTTTGCGCGTTACTGGCACAAGTGTCAGACGAGCAGCTATTCTCAGCTTTGTGTCACCTTGACCAATCCAACTGCCCAACACGTGACTCCGCAGTGGCACAGTTTGCCAGCAACGGGGTTGAGTTAATTAAAGGTCGGCAGTTTGGCCCCATCTACTGGGCGAACTACCCATTTAATTCAGCGCAAGATGTTAAGCGGTGGTGGAAAGATCGAGCATCGATGATTTCCAATGTTACGCCGGTCGAACAATCTCAGTCCACCGGAGTCGCTTTGGGAGAGAATCAAGCCACCGACGGTAGCAGGGAGGAGAGTTGCGAGGACGAGCTGGAAAAGATGGAGGAGATCATGGTTACGAACAGCATAGGAGCAACCGGTTTTGGTGGGATGGACCGTCAACCTACCTCGAGGGTTTCGGGAGAGGATGGCGTCGAAGAAGCGGCAATGAGGTTAACAGCAACCTTGAGCCCTGTAAGACCAGGCTCTACGGTTATGAGCAATTTCAACGCAAACTTCTCAGCTAAACACATTGCGTCAGAATCGCAGGAATTTGAGAGCTACGAGAGTGCATTTCTTTGGTAACGGCAATTGGTTTTGGGATTGTTTGAACAGAGAATAATCCAAAAGGGAAACATCAATCTCGATTTGAGCATTTGCATGTCATTATTGCTCCTTTGCTAATTCATATGGCGTAGAATTAAACCGATTAATACAAACCAGCTATAGTCGAGTTGTCTTGCAGAAAGCTGGGTCAACTTCCTGGGTTGACTCTCAATGCTGCTTGGCGAAGAGTAATCCACTGCTACACACAAAGTAGGCCCAGTCTGTAGGGGGGCGGGGTATTGTTTCCCCGCAACTCCCACATTTGACCGACTGAGTCGTTTTTGCCGGCGGGCGACACTACCTCTGTAGTTGTTCCTCTCTTCGAAATGCCAAGCAGCCATTTTCAACATTTGAGAGTCAGACATTAACGCCCTAACTGGTCATTTAACAATATGCCACTCGAAATAGGAAGTCTGAGAGCCCTTGCAAATGGGGAAAGTCAGTTTGTTGGCAGCTCTTCTGGCGTATATTTCATCGACACAGTCAAGCGAGCGTTTGCAACACCGGATGGTGTAGCGTCCGACAATGGCCAGCATATCAGAAGCAAGAGACCTGAACATTGTCCATCTCCGCAGGACTGTATTGTCGGAGAAGAGGAAAACATTGACCCGAAGGATTCCCGACTAAGTCTGAGGCAAGAAGAAACCCGCGGGCCACACACCGACTCAAACGACTATGTATCTTCGCCCTCTACGGCTAGGGATCTCCTGGATAGCATGGATAAACTCCCCGACTATTCCGTGGCAAGAGATCTCGTCCTCACATACTTCAGAATATGGCATCCTTTGGTTCCCTTTTTGCAGGGTCCGGAAATCCTGACTGAGTTGAACACTCTTTATCGCTTAGGCTCAACCTGTGTGGGAGAAAGCAACAGTCCAATTGGATTGCTAGTCACTTTCAGGTGTATCTTCAATATTGCCCGCCTTGAGAAAGATAGCTCGCTCGATATAGGCTCTACAACAATACGCTCTCCATCAGATCTCCTACCGACGCTGAGCCTCTTGGCCCTCCGGTGCGACACAATATCTATCCAGGCACTACTTTGTGCCCAAGTCTATCTCATATCTACAATGTCACTTCGACATGCATCATCTGTCAGTGGCTTGATATTAAAATCGATCTTCCAGTCAGGCATGCACCGCTGCCCTGTTCGCTACGAGCACCTGTCCATAGATCAGCGATCGATGCGCAAACGCATATTTTGGAGCTTTTACGTCCTTGATCGGTTTGTCAGCCAGTCGCTTGGGCAGCCGAACGGGGTCCAAGACTCCGACATTGACGTGTGCCTACCGGGACATCGAGAGCTTCATGAGCCAGTCGTTACATCGGAATTGTCGCCTGGGGGCGCAGACAATACCAACCTTCATCTCCCGTCCAACCACCCCAATAGATTGGCAGCGTCACCAACTGGACAGACACAAGGTAGAGAAAAACTACCAGAGGCAGAGAAAGAAGAATGCAACAACGCGAACGGACTGCAGCTTGGTGATGGGTCTGGTAGATCTGCTGCAATTTTGCGACACCGCAAGGAGACACAGGCTGTCCTAGAAAACCATGTGTGCCACTCACAACTAGTGGGGAGGATTCTCGAAGTCTTCCACAAGTCCATACACGCAAGAAATCTGGATAGCCAGGCAGTTCTTTTCCTCAAGGCCGACGTTTCTGCGTTTGGCAATAATCTGACCCAGCCACGCCTCAGTCCGATCATTCTCGACATTCCATCACTGGCACCTGACCCTACAGTGTTCCCGTTCATTTCGTACCATTACACTGTTCTTCTTCTCAACCGCCCTTCTCTTTCCTTGGATTCGAGACACGCAGAGTTTCGAGAGGCTCTACAGACATGCATTGGCGCCGCAAACACCCTCATACAAACAATGCATCGATATGCGGCATTTGGAGGTCCTCTTTTTTGGCCCGGCTACATGTCAGCCGTCTGGATGAGTGGACTCGTTCTGGCTCTCGCAACCCGACTCGAACTATGTAATAAAACCAAGGCTAAATCGTCAGTGACACACTCTCTCGTAGTATGGAATCAGCTAACACACTGGTAGTGCTATTTGCGTAGCCCTTGAACTATTGACAATTATGACGCGTCGATGGGCCATGGCACGAAATTGCAAAGAAGTCCTGTCTTTGTTGCTTCAAGATATTGATGTTGGTGCAAAACAGCATAAAGGAGTTCGGTCGGACACGGACTTGGTTGGGGATAGATCAACAGAGGAACCTCAGTGCACCCAGGCCATCCGAAGTCCCGTGAAGCGCCAAAAGAGAAACAACTGTACAGCTGTTCTACCAAACTCTTGTCATGAGAGTCATGCGCCAACATCTCCACGAGATAACGCTTTGGTGTTCACACAACCAACGCGAGGCCCACTGTTGGCCACAGTTCAAGGAATTAAAGACAGTGTCAACGCCGGAGATCACGAGAGTCAGCGGAACACTTTTCAATACAGCTGTATACCGCAATCTAATACTCGAAACCAAGAAGCGAACGGTTTTGTAACATCACCGAACCTGGTCGCCTACAGTGCAACACCCGAGAACCCTTGTTTTGCGCCGATACCAATCACTTTTCCGGACCGGCAACATAACTTTCCCAATCAATATTTGGATCAATTCGATAGAACTGAGAATCTTTTCGATATGTTTGACGGAGCCACATGGGGTTCCCTGCTAGAAATCGTCAACGGCGCTGGCATAGATACGCATCAGTGAGGACTATCTAGTACAACGAAATCCAACGACGGATTATCTAGACGGGATTGCCCTAGCAGGGAGTTAACAGAAGCACTTTGCTCTTTATCGGTCTGTACACTTGCATGGATATATGCTAGCCAACCCACGCCTGTAGTCAGGACTTTGAGCCTTGCTTTAGTAACCTATTTGGGCTGACTCTTATCTTTACAGACACAATCCATACATATGATAGGATAGATGATCGCTATTTTCGGTGATTACTATCAATTCTTCGAAGGCTAGCCCTTAGAAGCAAATTCTCATGATTAAATGATGGTATAGTAGGATGAGCACCCTAAGTTCCGACTATCCTGAAAGTTATTGGGACTGCGAAGTAATCCATTTGAAGTTATGTTTAACTACCGTCTCCTCCCTGGATGTCCGGAAGATAGATATAGTGCTTCAACAGTACCAAACTAGCCCTAAGACGCTTCACTATTAGCTGCAAAGAATCCGAACCATATTGGCTAATAACTACTTGCTATATGTTTGATTTGTAAAAAGAAGCTAGCTGAAACACAGTGTAAGCCATGCAGATGGTTGCAACTCAAGCACCGGCGTTTTCTTTGTCGATTTTGTATCCGCCAGATCGCAACCCTAGCGATAAGTTTAACTTACTTGCTCGGTTATAAAACGTCATTTGAAGTTACTAGCTTTGATGTCTTGAACTTACCTTTGGTTGAACTGAACTAATCGTTGTTGCTAGACGACAAACAACCACAAAAATTGCTAGTTTCTGCGAGTTTTATGCTTGACTACCAGAAGATTCACATTATAATCATGGCGCAGAATGACGACCATGTCGTGACGCTGACGGGACGCTCGAGGTCGAAAAATTAGTTGCAAATTCCAGAATGTCAGTTAAACCCGATATTTTGGGGAGGGGGTTCTGATATAACACGTCTGGACTAGTTGACAGATACGATTTTAGCCCAGATAATCCTAACAGCCATTGATTAACCTGAAAATGTCATAACGGCGTGTTGAGAGGCTAGATTTCTATTCCTCCAATTAGTGACGTCGTATAATCGGGAAAAGTTTAGGCTAACAGCTTCCGCGGCTCATTATTTAAGCGCTGACGCGTCCGGTTTTCGCCCGGAAGTGGCGCCGACCCCTCTCCTCGCCGCAACACCCTGAACTTTGAATACATCACAACTTTTGTTCATTATTTAAGATGGAACAACAAGCACAAAATTTTTGGCCCCTACTCACTTCATCACTAAACCGCTTGGCATCTTCATAATGTCTTCTCAGTCCCTCAAGATCGCCGTTATCCCTGGCGATGGGATTGGCATCGAAGTCATGCCATGGGGCGTGGAATGCCTTACATCAGTCGCCAAAATCTTTGACATTTCTCTGGAATTTGAATGGTTCGACTTCGCCAGTTGTGCCTACTACCACAAACACGGCGAGATGATGCCCTCTGACTGGAAGGAGAAGCTCCTCAAATTCGATGCCCTCTACTTTGGTGCAGTTGGCATGCCGGATGAAGTTCCCGATGACATCTCACTATGGGGCAGCCTTCTCAAGTTCCGCCGCGAATTCGATCAGTACATTAACCTACGCCCATGTCGCCTGATGCCTGGCGTGACTTCGCCATTAGCCAACCGGAAGCCAGGAGACATTGACTTCTGGATCGTTCGCGAGAACACGGAAGGCGAGTACAGCAGCATCGGAGGCAAGATGTTCGAAGGCACCGATCGCGAAACTGTCATTCAAGAGACTGTTATGACCAGAGTTGGCGTCGATAGGGTCCTTCACTACGCCTTTAATCTGGCACAGAGTCGTCCTCGGAAGCGTCTCACCAGCGCCACAAAGAGCAACGGTATAAGCATCACGATGCCCTACTGGGACTCTCGTGTCGCGGAGATGGCGAAGAACTACCAAGACGTCAAGCTAGACAAGTATCACATCGACATTTTGACTGCGCACTTTGTTCAGCGTCCGGACATTTTCGACGTTGTAGTTGGCAGCAATCTCTTCGGAGACATTCTCTCAGACCTGGGCCCTGCTTGTACTGGTACCATCGGTATTGCCCCGTCAGCCAACCTGAATCCAGAAGGAAAGTTCCCTAGTCTCTTTGAGCCGGTCCATGGTAGTGCTCCGGATATCGTTGGTAAAGGTATTTCCAACCCCATTGGCATGATCTGGGCAGGGCAGATGCTACTTCAACATTTTGGATTTAAAAAAGCTGCGGATCTCTTGCTCAAGGCCATTGAAAATGTTCTTGCACGTTCAGAAGCTCATGTTTTGACGCCAGACATGAAAGGCTCGGGTAATACCGAAGGGTTTGGCAAAGCGATTTTGGCGGAAATTGCAGGGCTGGGGGACAAGAATTGATTTAGTTCTAGGGAACTCAGTAGAAGCAATTGGACTAAGGATTCTTCTGCTACCTGAAGAAGCAGACAAAAGAGTTTTCAAGTAAACACATGTTATGATGAGAGGCTAGGTAAGGCTGACGAATACGTGGCTAATGCTCTCCCATGGGTGCGACTCGCGGGATGGAATATTGTAGATGCATAGCCAACTGTAAATAGTAGATCATACTGAAACCCGGCCTCCAGCATATCATTATTTTCCCTCGACGTTTTTCTTTGTGGCAACACTGTATGTATTTGATCGAGATGTCAAGTGCATTTCAAATTTGAAGACCGCCTTCACATGCATTGAGTCATCATCTTTTCTAATTCAAGTCTATTACCTTTTCACCCATTTGGTAATGTTTCAATTTTAGTAAGACACTGTGAATAATCACAAATGATTATCCGCAGCGCCGCCTAGTGCACGACATCTATTACTTCCATGTTATCATTCTCGTCCACTTTACGCTGATCCATACACAACCAGTACATCTAGAAAAGATAAGGTAACATTTGACGAAGGATTGTGATCATGGATTGTTCTTCAATTGTAAGAATGTAAGAATTTGAGCGACATATTCTATATTGAGTCGTGATGGTATCCCTGTTGTATAAATATTTGTCGAATGTTTGACAACATATCAATGTTTTAACATGGCATGTATGATAGCCTCGGCTACTCAACCAGTAAGGGTCCATATCGCGCAGCAACAATGGAATTGGCTTTATACTGATAATAGAACAGAGCTTCCTGGTTTGCTCAAACCTATCGCCAAAATCCGTGCGTCAACACCAACAACACCGACCGCCTGTCGCCGCCGTTTTGTGATTGAACGCCACAACCACTGCCGATCCCGACTCAACTCGCTTGACACCTAGAATCCACCGTTAGGATGGATAAGAACCTTCGTATAACCATCAATTCTCTTGTCAAACTTCTCATATGCAATCTCTGCGTCGTCGATGTTGATCTGATGAGAAACTACGAAACTTGGCTTGGCCTTGCCTGCGATGATCAGATCGCGCAGGTATCTGTTGTAAGCCTTAACGTTGCATTGTCCTGTCCCGATAGATAGGCCTTTCTCGAAAAGTTTACCGAAGCTTAGACTGATCATGCCCTTTGCCGACGCGTCATCGGACGCACCTGGGTCACTACACAAATGGCACATTAGTCTTATGTCTACTTTATAGAGAGCGACAAACCTCACCTTGGCACGTAAAGTCCCGGGATGCCAAGTCCACCGCAAGCGCGCGTAACCTTAATCATGTTCTCGAGTACAATGTTGGGCTGCTCTGTGTTGCCGCCAGCGCTGACAGCTTGGTAGCCTACTGCATCGACTGAGCGGTCAACTTCTCCGCCGTTCAGATCTTTGATTTGCTCAACAGCATCGCCTTTTGTGAAATCAACAGATGTGCATCCAATCTTCTCGGCAGAACGAAGGCGCTCGACGACACGATCGACAACAAAGACTTTAGAGGCACCGCGCAAAACTGCTGAGTATGCGGCCATCAAACCGACCGGCCCAGCTCCAAAAACAGCAACAGTCTCACCAGGCCTGAAGCCAGATAGTTCAATACCATGCCAGCCCGTGGGGAAGATATCTGGAAAGATATGCTTAGCAACACCTCAGGGGAAAGAAGTTCTAGGGAGGTATCCTTGCCTGCAAGCAATATGAAGTCTGCCTCAAACTCTTTGCCGGGGGCAGCTTCAACGCATTGAAGTCTGCATAGGGTACTCTGAGGTATTGTGCCTGACCTCCAGGGTAAGGACCCATGGCAACGTATCCTGACCGATTGTCAGATTGTATCTGGATCTGCTCCATGTCTGGTGACTTACCATAGGCACCGCCGGCAAAGCCTGGATTCACACCTGTGCAGAAGGCAGTTCGTCCCTCCTCACAGTTATGACACCGACCATCAGCAACGTTGAAAGGCATGACTACGCGATCACCCTTTTTCAAGAGCGTAACGCCACTTCCAAGCTCCTCAATGATTCCCATGTTTTCGTGCCCTTTGAATGTTAGCATTCTGCGCTATGGCGTGGCATGTGGTAGCCTACCAAAGGTGATACCGGCTTCTGCAGCTGTTCTTCCCTCATACATACTGTAAATAACTCAGTAGCTGCACTCTATTTTCAATCAACATTTTGAGCCTACTGCAGGTCTGAGCCACAAATGGCAGCCTTGGTTGCTTGTTAGTTTCTGAGTAGTCAGACGAGCAATGAGCTGCGAGGTCAGCACATATGGTTCAGCTTACTGTGGTGACTTTGACAATGACATCGTCAGGGTGCTGGATTCGAGGCATCGATACATCGGAAACCTTTACCTTGTAAGGTCCTTGGTAGTTCACGGCTTTCATAGTAGTAGACGACATGATGACAGATTTACGTATGGAAGAAACTTCGATAACTAGCCACGGAAGCTTCAGGGCAACGGCAAGGACATTCAGCAGCACTCGTCATATTTATCTTGCGAACCCCTCACCAGACAGCCGACCGAGCAGATCAGCAAGAATAGCATTAACTTGTTTGACAGGTCACCGGGTGACCGGCTTCCACCTAGAGCCGTCATCGCCGCGGGATAACTTTCTCAATCGAGATGGTACAGACGCCGTTGCGGGGTAGCAAGCGGGAAAACGTCGCCAAGAGGCGGGGATGCCGCCGCAATACAGCTTGTGCCCGGCATGTTTTTGGGCCTGATAAGAGACGGGACGACGACAGGGAGAGCTGGCAAATAGCAGTCCCAAGTGAACGAACTTGAATCCCGAACCCCCGAATATTGAGACCAAAGTATCCTCGTCGGTGAATTGCTGCTCTTTGCACGATGCGGGGAATGAATTGCGGGAAGCCTGGATCACAAATGATGACTGGGAGCTTAGCCCAAAAGCTTCCCCGCTAATGAGACGATGACAGTTGCTACGCCAGAGTCTATCTCTCTTCCCCCAAACTCCATTGGTGCATGACGTATTTGAGGAGGAAAAAACGGTGTTGATGGTGTATGAGTAGTAGGTCTGATTTGATTGACAGTCATCACAAATTAAGCTGAATTGCATGCATACTCCGCAATTCTCGCCGAACATTTCTCTTTATGAATCTCATTCTGCAACACTCTTAGCCACGGCCAGCCCTTTCAGCTGATGCCTCCATGATTGCCCCCAATTACAGTATCGGGATACTTCAAGGCTGTCATACTGTTCAGGGCGTTCCGAGCGGGCGGGATCATCGTCACCTTCATTGCGCCACTTGGCTGCATTGTCCTGACTAATGCCCTTTGCAAGTTACGCCGAACCGAGAGATATATGGCGACCACTGCAACAGAGCATATCAGGAATCCAAAATCTCGAATAGAGAGGACGTTAATTTGATAGTCTGAGACGAAAGTAATGCTTCTTTGTTTATCCAAAGTTCTAGTATTGATTGATGGTTATCTTGTAAGGTCCGAATCCCTTCTAACTGGCAAAGTTCCAGCATTGAGACTTGTAGATTGGCACATCAACCTCGTACAAAGTCTTGGTATAGAACTGCGTGACGAACGCCTCAACACCGAAGTGGAAGTTGCTAGCAAACCACGCACCGTTGACGCACTGGTCCTCTGTGGGCTTAGTGAAGGTGACGCCACTCGCGCTGGTGTAGGAAAAGTCGAGGTCCAAAGCAAAGACGTTTACGACCGTGGGCTTAGCCTCAACACCCGCAGACATGTCCAACAGCCCGTTGAACAGCTTGACACCAAGAGCGACGGTCAGGTCAGCGAAAGGATTGAGTTGAAGTTCAACTTGAGCATTGACATCGGTTGTGACGTTGGTCTGGGGTTTCCAGCCGGTAGTTGATGTTTTACTGGCGTCGAGGAAGTCGAGGTGAACGTTGACGTCGGAGATAGTACTGACGACGTCAACGGAAGCCTTCACTGTTCCGGATGCAGCAAACTCAATACCGAGGCTAAAGTCAACCATAGGGCCGACGTCAATAATGCCGGGGATAGTGAAGGCTGAAACGGAAACAGACAGAGGGTTGTAATTGTACAGGTTGGTAGAATATTCGGCGCTGACAGCAGCAGAAATGTTGAGGTTCAAAGCTGAGGAGTAGTCTAGGTCGATGTAAAACTCGCTGAGCTTGAACTCCCAGAAGTTGTAGTGAACATGACCCGCCAAACCAATGGTGCTTTCTAACCTCGCTTCATTGGCAACAATGGTTAAAGGATCAGTGGCAATCAAGGTGGACCCCGAAAGGTCAGCCGAGATAGTGCCGGACAGATCACGTTTTGTGGTAGCAGTGCCAATGTGTTGAAAGTCGATGATAGCATCGTTCATCTGGTCGCGGATCTCTGCCCTCGTTGCTGAGGCTGTGACAGTGAGCGTGGCGTTGTCAAATGTATATCCCTGAACAATATAGATACCGCGCTCGTGCTCGCTGTCGCAGCCGTTGTTATGGTTCGTGATGATGATGAAGTCTTTCGAAGGCCAGCCACTCAAGCAGGTATTGTAATCCTCGGTCAACCCGAATTTGAGAACAACACCGGTGTTAGAGCACTGGACATCGGTAATCGTTTCAATATTCTCGATCAAAATGGCCGGGTGCTTCATCATGGCTCGGACTAGAGCATTTGTCGCGTTAGGCCCCTCATAAGGGAGCGTAACGTTAGTCTTGGGGATCAAGGTGGCTGGCCCGAGAGGGACAGCGGGGACTGAGTCTTGTCGTCTCTGGATAGGACGCAAGATAGTCTTGAGGGGGGATGTGAGCGGCTTGGTGCTAGGTAAAGTGGCCGATAAGGCCGAGCCGGCCACGGCTTGGAGTGCCAAGAAAGTAGAAAGAGGGAACTTCATCATGCAAAATTGAATAATTGCGTAGAGTGAACAAGAGTAAGAAGTGTACAAATTAGCCGGATAGCTCAATTCCGGAGATATCAAGACTCAAAATGATGAATGACTTTGGGGGAAAAGATTGTGGGATGTGTTATTGATATAGAAAAGAGGTTAAGTTAGAGGATCATATGGGCTCTTTATATTTGCAGTCGAATATGCCCATATAATCTATTTCGAGTCGTTCAACTCGGCGGCCAGAGGACATATAGGGGTCAAAGGGACTAAAACCACAAATTTAATCCACTTTACACATCGGATGCCATGTTGGAGGAGTCACCGCGTAGTGACAACTATGCTCCGCCTAGCCATGTGGGACTACAATGTTGATGAGACCAGTAAGGAATCAGGATTAGATCCACGCCATAGATGGACCAGAACTGTGAAGTCTTGGTCAATATACGCCCCTGTAATTACCCCGTTCCTAGCATCAACAGTTGGTACCGTGCTTGGCGAGGGTTATTTGGTTCATGAAGGCATGATAAGAGAAGATTGATCTGTCAGCGTGTGCAGTTTGTCCTGGAAGCAACGTAATGACCAACTTCTACGAACTTACTAGTACCAGGGTTCATTATTTTCACGGCAGATATCTCACTATCCACGCACGTACGGATTAGAGGCTGAGCTTATCCCCAGAGGAACTAATGTTGTTTGAGCCCCAATGACAATGTCTTATAGGCAGGGGTCGTGCGGTAGTTACGGAGAAGTCCCCGAATTCGGCCTCATCCGAGGACCAACGAGTCAGAACACTAGCCATGTGTGTGATTCGTTCAATGATAAACTTTCAAGCCAACAGATTATAGACTACTTTGTACAGGTAAGAAGAGTCCTATAGACTAATGAACTGAATCCATTGTATCGTTTCCGGTCTACGAGGCAGTGCAGACACCCAGCTCCTGGGCGACAAATGGTACCAGTGTAAATAAACAACCCAAACCTCAATGGGCGCCAAACATCCTTCGGAATGACCGAGAGATCCTGACAGGGATATGATTCCAGGGTCCACCTAGAATACCGGCCGGGTTGACCTCTATTCATTTCACTTCCCCCTTTGCCCCAAACCTCTAGCTCCAAAGCTCATCCCATCAATGCTTTGGCCCCCGAAAGCTAGATGGCTGAGCTTATCTAGGTGGATAACCACAGAGCGGTCCGTGTTCGATTTCCAAGGATTATTACTAGAAGCATACTTGCAAAGCCCCGACAGCTTGAAATAGATCAAGGTCCACGGAACAATCCACAAGCGAGAATGTCAAGACCTGAGTCGACGTCTCATCCATGTCGTTATGAATTATCCGAGATTTAGAAACGAAATAGGTCAGATGTGGATATCGATCTTACTGCAGTATAACTGACTGATTGAGTTCTTGTATACCTGTTTGCGATCTAGATCAGGAATTCTAAAAAAGATAAGATTCGCCACACAGCTGGATCACTACACAGTAGAAGGATATTTAGAACGAACATCGTATTTTTTCGTCATTGATCAACCAGGTATTCGATTAGCAATTGTGGTGACATGGTCAGCATCAGGGCCCAGATCCATGGTTATTAAACGTCACTTTGAGCCATCAAAACTAACCGTTTACTAGTCACTCTTCAAAAGGTGACATTGCTTAACAGCCCACTAACAATCAAAATCAACCATAAGCTCTACTAGTTTCTATCTGCCCATTTTTGCATGCTGATTTAGTATGCAAGGTGGAGCAGCAAGAACCCTTGAAGTGTCTCTGCAACGAGGAGCGTTGGATATCTGATATTAATGAAAAGAGAAGAATCTGCAACCGTCCCTGATCTCAAGTCTCTTGACATTCCGCTTGCAGACTTCTCACTGAAGAACATGAATTTGTAAATAGGTTGTGCAGCTTTGCAGTCCAATGTTAATCACAAGCCAGAGGGTTTCCTTGATAACTAATTTTCATCCGGAATTCAGCTTTGCCGCCTGCAGAGAACTTTAAGTTTAACCAGAGCAATATAAAACGGCATATTTATTAGACCGGATTCGGGGTTCTAAGCACGTTTCTAGCGGCTATGTGCGAGGATGATCGCTTTGCACACTTTTCTACAAAGATAGTGGAACCTCAAATCCACAGTTGGATCACAGAGTTGTAACGATCGGCAGATTTTGATGGCGCAGACTTTGAGGAACGCAATCTGTATCTGAGACGCACAAGCATGCCTTCTCTTGAAATTGGCTCAAGCCTGATGTGGAATCCGGGCCAAGCAGCGTTCTCTCCATCTGGACTCGTTGTTGCGGGCAGTCCTACGTGGCCATGCCTGTTAAACATGAGAAGAGAACAGCTGAGATATTCTACAAAGTGATATGAGGGGTTCCGAGAATATCTTTCATAGTCACCGATCAATAAGCTCCAGCCCTTCCTCAATGCTACATTATGCCAGGCGACTTCTGGTCGAGTCATCAGGTTAAGCCAAAACAAGAGTATAGGGGAACGTTATGTCACAGCAACGAGCTAGAGTAAGTGGTACAACCAGCACTCATGCATTCAATTCATCCTTGACAAGCTTGCCCTGAACGTAGACCCTAGCAATGTTGCGGTCATCTCCTGTCATGAGAAACTTTTCGAAGACCGTCCTTAAACTATCTTCTTCCTCTCGCACAGTCATCACACCGAATTCGTCATCCAGCGGGCAGGTCACCCATATCGCATCAAACTCCTTGCCTACAGCAAAGTTGCCAATCTTGTCCTCGAGACAACATACGCTGGCACCACCCAAAGTCGACAGGTAGAACACTTCATCCAGAGACAGCGCCTTGTCCTTACCGCTCGAGATGACCTCTCGGGCGTTGGAGGCTATGATTGCTTGACGGATGCTGTCGAGCATGCTGGAGGAGAAGCCACCCCCGCTGTCGGTGCCCAAGCCGACTTTGATGCCTCTGTTCAAGAACTGGCGTATTGAGGCAGCCATGAAGCCCCCGCCAACCGTCATGTTTGAAACTGGGCAGTGTGAAACGCCGCATCCGTGTTCTCGGATCTTATCCATATCATACTCGGTCATAAATGTGCAATGCGCAAGAATTGACCGTTGACTGAGAAGACCGTAGTGATGATAAAGGTCGGCCTCACTCGAGAATTCTGGGAATAGATCCCTCGTTACCTTAATCTCCTGCTCAGCTTCGTTGAAGTGTGTCTGAATTGCCAACTCTGGGTCTTCGCTTGCCATCTTGCCCAATCCCGCCAGCAAGGCTGGTGTGCAGCAAATGGCGAAGCGTGGCGACAAGACAGGTCGAACTAATTGCCCTGTCGGATCGATTTGCCGGATGTGCTTTATACATTCTACAGTTTCCAACAAGGATGATTCAGCGGACTCATCGTGAAGGTAGCTCGGTGCATTGCGGTCCATGTTGCACTTTCCGACGAACGCCCGTTGGTGCAGATTCTTGCAGGTATCTGCCAAGATCTGTGTTGCTTCAGCATGTTTGGATCCATAATAGGACGCAGTTGTAATTCCCTGCTTGAGGAATCCCTTGACGCAGCTCCTATAAACCTTCCCAGCGTATATCGGGTCCGAGAAGCGTGCTTCGTGCGGAAAAGTAATCTGTTCGAGCCAGTCGAGGATGTGGAGGCCCTGGCCAAGAGAACGCATGGCCCATTGAGGGGCATGGTTATGGGTGTCGATGAACCCTGGCGATAAGAATTGGCCCTTTGCAACCTTTTGAAAATGAACGTTGTCAGGCAGCTTCTTCGATAGTTCTTCGGCAGAGATATTGGGATAAAACTCGGAGATCAGTCCATCTTCTCCAATGACGACACCTGCGTTTTCGAGGATCTCCGCTTGGTTAGGACCAAGGGAGTGAATCAGAGCACCATGAAAAGCTAAGGCTTGTACCATCCTGATAATGAGTCCTAGCCGAGTCAGAAAGAGATCGACCGATTCACCGAGAGCTGAAGGGCAATGCGTTGGGGATAGAAAGATCTCAGTACGTTCTGGCAAGATGTCACCCTGAGCTATCCTATTGTGTGAAAAGGAAAAATGATGGCTCGCTGATGCTGATGTAAAAGCAACATAAGGAGAGGGGATCGTTGGCTTATCTTATCATCCCGGGAGCTTATCGTGTTATCAGTGTTTTTGAGTTATCATACGGAGCTAAAATTTTGTCACTCTATGAACACTGCTAACGCGATTAAACCGGGTTAGCCTATCTACCGGTTTCAAACCAGACTGGTTCAGATGCGTTTTCCTGGCAATTAAGCATAACTGGAGCACTCACAGTGCCATGTCTAGTGCATCGTCGTAATTTGCTCAAGTATCTTGCTGTAGACACCTTGCAAACCCAGAACGCGCAAGCTAGCAAGACGTTTACTGACAACTTATGGAAAAGATTTCTCAGTCGTCAGGTCTAAATTAATGAATTGCCCCGAGGCCGAATGACTGTATCGAGCAGCGATGCACTAACATCGGAGACAAATAGCAGTTAGGTAGTTAGCTGAATTTGGGGAGGAAATGTTCCCAAAGACATTGTTCAGTGGAAGACGATGTGGCGGAGAGTTCTGGCTTTGGGTTTCGCGAGACACATGGTACTCATGGTCAAACAATTTACCTAAAATAGCAAAAGTTACAGAGACAAGCAATCTCGGAAACAATGCGGCAATGCTTACCGGGATGATGATAGGTCTCATTGAAAAATGTCGAAGACCAGATGGAAAAGACAGATGCAAACACGCCGCTCAGTATGTAGTATTAACGGCCCCAGTGTTCGAAGACCCTGAATGATGTAGCCAGGGTAGGCTGTTGGTTGCACAACCGCAATCACGTCATGTGTCCACCCTGTATCTACGTGTAAATAGCTGCTGTGAATACTATTCTTGTCCCGCTGGTTCCGTTGGTAGTGCGTTTTGAAGATCTTCGACAATATTTCGGCAAATGGGGTGCTCTGGACGCGTTAGTGGTACCGTAATTGGGCCTCGAGCGCCAGGGCTGCTGGCCAGGACTTGCATCCAGAAGACCATCTCTTTCGTCAGAACGTGTAAAACTGCGCTGTTGACAACGCCACAGATGAGTGCCACAGTGCCACAGTGCCACAGTGCCACAGTGGTACATAAGTTGCCGATGGCGCGGCAGCCAAACCTGTATTTTCCGGCGTAACGTAACTGTGTGGCAGGTGTTCTCGTGGCGCCCCTCCTAAATGACGACTGCCAATGGGCGGCCATTCTCCTGGTGGAGATCCCGTTCCCTGTTTTCCAGGGCGCTCATCATCGGATCCGTGTGCCGGCGCGCCAAACATCGGAGACAAGCTTCTATTACTGCGGGAGCGGATGTTGCTCGATCACACGTCCCCGCAACTCACGTCATGAATACCTCCTTCGCCGTCATGAAGCTGCGTCTTGACCAGAAGCTTAGTCTTGGGAGTTGATTGTCTGCCAATAACTACTCCACATGAGCTCATAACATTACAATCTGGACTGCAGACATGGGTCGCTGATACTCTTGACTGACCCTAGCGAGACAGCTCTTGGTCTGGACCAGCTTGAGAGCCGTGACATCACATTGATAGTTGGGCCAGAATGGAATGAACTGCGTTCTGAGCAGAGAGTATTTGATGCTCATGATCTCTCATGTTGGACAGGATATTTTCCCAGATAACAACACAATTCAAAGCTACCTCGGACAAAAACTCCTTCCTTGATACCCCAACACACACACGAATAGTACCAACACCATCTGATTTCCAATTCTACCCGAAAGCCAAAAGAACAACAGCCAATAATCATGGGTTTGGGTTCAAAGATTAAGAACGCGCTCCACAGCGACGACCACCCCCAGAAGTCCTACGAGGGTGAGCAACCTCCGGGCGCGTTCCCTTCGGATTCCACCACCGCCGCAAACACCAAGCACAACACTCTAGGCACCACAGGCACCACAGGCACCACAGGCAACCACACCGGCAACCATACGACCGGTGGATACTCCGGTGGCAAGACTGGTACGACGGGCACACACACCAGTGCTCACAGTGGCTCTCACACCAGCAACACTGCAACAGGGTATGACGATCCCGATGGCGTCCACGGCCCTCACGGCAGGAGGACTTTGAACAAGGCGGATCCTCGTGTGGATTCTGACCGTGACCACCGTGGCGCCCCTAGCTCTGGTTTGACTGGCAGCAATACTACCCATGGTCAAACTTCGGGAACCGGCTTGACCGGGAACAGTTCCACTCGCGGTACTCATGGCACGGCTACGAACTCAAGTGTAACCGGCAGTAACAACCCCTACTCGAGCAATGCCACCACAGGTTATAACGACCCCGACGGAGTCCATGGTCCCCATAGCGGACGTGCGGCCAATAAGATTGATCCCCGCGTCGACTCCGACCGCGACCACCGTGGCGCTCCCGGCTCTGGTTTGACCGGAAGCAATACATACGGCACAAGCACCGGCACCGGTCACGCCGGGGGTCTCAACAGCAACCCTCATGGCGGAGCTACCGGTGGCATTGCCGGCAATCACACTACCGGCTATGATGATCCCGATGGAGTCCACGGTCCACATGGCGGACGTGCGGCTAACAAGATTGATCCCCGCGTCGACTCCGACCGTGACCACCGTGGCGCTCCCGGCTCTGGTTTGACCGGAAGCAATACCTACGGCACAAGCACCGGCACCGGTCACGCCGGGGTCTCAACAGCAACCCTCATGGCGGAGCTGCCGGTGGTATCGCCGGCAACCACACTGCCGATTATAACCACACTACCGGCTATGACGACCCTAACGGAGTCCATGGTCCCCATGGTGGACGTGCGGCTAACAAGCTTGACCCCCGTGTCGACTCTGACCGTGATCACCGTGGCGCGCCTGCCACCGGGCTTACCGGCACCCATCGCCCCACTGACTCCGGTGTTGATGTTGGACACGGCCCCGGTCACAACAAGCCGTACCCTGGCGGGAACCTTCGGAACACCCAGGAACCATACTGGGGCGATGTAGGACGCGATGGTCACAGTGTCGCCGGTACTCGCGGAACCCAGGGTACTTCTGGTACTCTTAACAAGGACTTGCCTCTGCGCCCTAACGAGTCTGGTATCGGCCGAGGAGGTCCTCAGGCCATAGGTGGGGGCACTTACAATGCCGCTGATACTCACCATCATGACCCTGCTTCCAGCGTTGACCGCTCCATGGAAGGACGTGACTTCACCCACACCAACCAGAGCGGCAACGTCGGTATCGGCGGTGCCGGCAGCGACCCTTACAGCGGTGTCCACGGCGCTGCTCATAATCCTCAGGCGGCTCTCGCTGGCGGTAGCACCAGCGATCCTTACGACACCCGGATGAGAGACAGAGACATGGGTCGCGAGCGTACTGGCCATGGTGCCGCTGGCGCAGGTATCGGTGCAGGCGTTGGCGCGGGTGCCGCCATGGCTGCTGGCCAGGCTGCCCACCGTCATCACCGTGATGACATGCATGAGTCTGGTTACGGCGCGGGCAACACCGGTGCCGGTAGTCTGAACTCTGGCATTGGCCACAACAACACCGCGTCCCACGGTATTTCTAACACCCACGGCGGTGTCGGCGGCGGTGTCGGCAGCGGCGTTGGTGGTGTTGATGGTCACTCTCGCTCCAGCATCAGCGGCCATGAACCTGATGTTCCCAGAACGAGCATGCTTGACCCCTACAACGAGTCTTCCACCACTTCAGGCGTTCAAGGCAATGTGGCCGGTGGCAAAGGTGGTCATTACGAAGGACGCAACGGATCTCCCCCATTCAACCAAGGTATGCAAAATCCCCATGTCCCTGGCACCACCGGCCTGGGATCCAGTAATATGGGCCCTGACCACTATGGCCCAGGACATGAAGGAGCTAAGGTTTTCCACACCTGCACACGCTGTGGCGAGGACAACGACATCAGCAAGTACTTTAAGAAGGATGCAGTATACCGCATGGGTTAAGAGTTGATTGATGTCAAGCAAGCATTTGATACCAAATTGTATTTTCATATTTAGTCATAATGATCATGACATCTAACGCTATTATCTTACTACAAAACCTTTTGGCTTTCAAATTCTACCTTCCCAAAGATGATATAGTGCGGAAGGAATTGAATCGGTAGAAGTGAGAAGGGTATATAAATGATGGTTGTAACATTTTAACAAAATGCCCCGGTGTTTAAACCAAAGACTGTCCATTCATTCATGTTCCTTGCGATAATAATCCTGTCTGTGTGCATCAAGAACCATTTGGCATATCTCACCATAGCCTTTTCCATCCGACTTTCACATCCCGGTCTGGCAGGACAGACCCAGCACCAACAGACGCCTTCTCATTGACGGGTGGCTGGTCTGCAATCGATCCATCGAACTTGACCCAGTTCTCAAACTCAATATCAAACCGAGATACGATCATGGCAACCGCCAATATAATCTCCTGTTTGGCAAAAAGCCGTCCCGGACACATGGAAACACCACCGCCTGAGGAATCTATTAGTCCTGGCCGTGTCTAATCAGCCACAGTACTTACCATAGGGAAAGAAACTGCTTGGTCTGCCAGCCATAGAGAACTCTTTTGCCTTCTTTATGCCCAGTTTCATCTTCTTTCTCGACGTGTTTGATGTGACGCTCCGCCCAAAATTCGGATGCAGGATGACCCTCAACGCCCCAAACAGATTCATCGAGATGCGCAATCTGGTTCGGGGCTTGCACCAGAGAACCTTTGCTCAAATGATATCCATCGAGTTCTATGGACTCTAGAACTTCTCGCGTGACATTGATAGACACGTGCAGTCGTAGGGTCTCGGTATAAATCGACTGCAGCAACGGCAGAGTCATAAGTTTTGCTACGTCGAAAGTGATTGAGTTGGTTTTAGAGTCCTTGATAAACGCCTCCTGGACCTCGTCTCGTACGGCTTTAAAAAGCGATGGGTCCTTGATGACCTCCACGACTGCCCAAGTAGTTTGTGGAACGGAGTTTACATTAATTCTGAAAATCGTCAGATGAGCAACCAAATCAAAAAACAGCTACTCCCCAATCTTGCTTATACACTGACCCCATAATGTTTGAGAAATACATGCCGGATCGTGACTGAATCGAAAATCCTTTATTGTTCCAATGCTTTGAGTGTTCGCGCTGAAGTCTCGAGCCGAAGATCGGTTCCCAATCAGCGTCGACGTCTGGACCATTCCAGTCAAATGACGACCAAGCGTTCGTCAGAAACCTTTCCATCATCGAGAATGTCTTTTGCTGGATTTGCTTCGGTCTCGGATTATACCACGAAGGCAAGAGGTACATAAGCTGCATCCTAATATCGTTGAACTCCCAAAGGGTATCCACAAACTCCGGATGGTCCTCTATGAGTTTGCGTCCTGCAAGAGAGATCGTGGCAGCTTCCGCCATGTTTTTCTTCAAGTACTTGAACAACTGTACTGTAATCCACTCCTTTAACGGTTGCTGGTCGAGCTTCTCTCCGAAAAAAAAGTATGAATGATTGGGCCAGCCGAGCCGTTGCTTCTGCACGGAGCAGGTGCTCATCGAAAATGTGATGCAGCCCGACCCAGTAGCGTTGATGCTCAAGCACATTCTCTATCCCCGGCGCTGGCGTCTTCAACCTCCCCGACCTGTCGTTATACATCTTTGCCACGTCATCTTCCGTCATGTTTTCTACACGGCCTTTTACCATGACAACGATCTTATCGGAGCTGAGAGTGTTGTGTAAACTGTTGCGAAAGAGCTTTTGGACATTGTGAGATCCAGCAACCAGATAGACAGTAGAAGTACCCAAATTGAACTTGACGATACCGCTTTTCTTCAAAGCTTCGGTCGCTCTCTCGAGGAATTTACTATTGTTTGTGATGTATTGGTACGTGTTTGAGATATAGGGAATAAGTTCAGGCAAGCTTGGTGGCTCATTAGCCTTTTGCTGGGAAAAGTGCCAGAGGAAGATGATCAAGACGGTCAAAAAGAAGCCACGTTGTATAAGACATTCTCATATAGCCTTGTAAGGACTGAAAAAGCCCCCGCGAAGATGCAAATTCATATGAAGCATCGATTGAAGCCATTGCTTGCTAATGATCAGAAACGATGATGGTATGGTCATATATGTTGAGGTGTTGGGCCGAGGTAGGAAGACATATGCGCCGTGCCCCGTGAGGGGTAGAATACTGAGTTTATTTCGGGACGCATAGTTTCATGGTCGGAGTCTATCTTAGTTCGTGGATGGCCGATATTAATATTCCATGTTCCCAGTTCATCATGTTATGTTAACTTCAAAGCGGCCGTTATCGCGAAGGTTCAAAACCTAAAATCATAATGCTCGGCTTTCACATTTTTATGCAACGTAAACATGATGGTCGGGTCTTAGTTTGGGGACGTGTAGAAACTCGAGTGGATACATCGTATGTGCAGTCATCATTGATCCTGAAAATCTATGCCATTACGCGTCTCAGTCACTTAGAGCTTGGGCTCTCTCGGCAAGCTATAAACTTCAATCTTGGTTACTGGTGGTGCTGACCTTTATCATCTCGATATAGTATCCTTGTGACGATATAGTAGCTGTAGATTGAGACTCACGCCCTATACTGATTTGAACTGTAAGCAAATTCTTGCTCATGCTTGGTCGCCGGCGGAAGTCTTCAAGTGCTCAGTATTTGTTGCAATACTGTTCTCGAGTGATATCCAACCAGACCGCCCAAGTCTCTTCAGTAGTTCTTCGGCTCTGGCAATGGGCTTAACTGTGACCGGGTACTCCTCATTGTGGAAGTTCTCAGCAAACTTTCGGTCCGGGTTCTGTCTGCGGAGAATGCTTAGAACCATGTCCCAATTCATTGGGTGAGCAAAGGCGAAAATGCGCTCGCCTTTGACGTCGGCAAGTATGGCTGCCGCCACGTGCAAGGCAGCATCATCCTCGACATCCACGAAATAGTGCGGCAGATGCCAAAGCTCAGGCAGAGTCTTTCCCTTAAACAATTCTACTATGAAGCCGAAAGAAGATGAGCCCCCGGTGTTGACCGGGTCAATACTCCTACCAAAATTAAAGTCGGGAACGACTGACACCGATAGAAGTTAATAATTATGTGTCTGAAAACGAACCTCGGAAGGCGGGTTGGGAGAAAACTTTGCTTACTTGAATTGACAACAATTTCGGGACGTCTCATCTTGTTCTCTTCGTAGTATTTCCATATGGCTTGCTCTTGCTCCATCTTGCTAGCACCATAGATGGCACCGCCATGCTCGATACCCCATGGAGGAGGCGCCCATGCCAACTCCTTAGCGTCATGCCCGTAAGTGTCAACGTCCACTGTCTGACCCTTCAAGGCAAAAAAATTCTCCTTCTTGAGGGGCATCAGTGTCGATGCAGATGATGTCAATATGAAACGCTTCATGTTAGGCTCCTTGTATGCTGCCTCAATGGCGACCATGCCGCACTTTACAGCTCCTCCGATGACCTCGGCGGGATCGCCATTGAAATCGATGATTGTCGCTGTGTGAACAAACGCAGCAGCACCTATAGTTCAGTTAGCATCGTGTAAACTGAGGCATGCTCAGCAGAGCAGAGTGGTTCTTGAATATACAAGAAGACAAAGAGCGTTCCATGACTTACCCTTGATGGCCTCATCGTAGGCGTCATCGGCTTGCATATCCGGAACAATGTGAAGTTCGAACTTTCCTCTTCCGTACGCCTTCTCAAAGTGGGGAACGAGCCAAGCGCTTTTGGTGGGGTTACGGACCGTCCCACGGACTACATATCCTTTCTTTATAAACTGGTCGGCGATATGAGATGCGATGTATCCATTGGCGCCAGTAACGACCACAATAGACCCCATCGGAAGAGCTGGGTTCTCAATCAAGGCCATCTTGACGTTTATATAGCTTAAATGGAAGTTTGCTTCTATAACTGCAACTCGTAGTGGTGCAGTCAGCTGAACTGATGGATAGCGGCTTTTGTCGATGAGGTAGTGTGAGACATCGGCTGATGTATTGAGCGTTCAAAATTTTGGACGGAATTGGCACGCCAATTTATACCATTCTACTTACCTTCGATACTCTCAAGGAATCGTTGTCTCGCCTAGACCGCCGGTTCGACAACGAGAACGACTCCTTAAGTGGGTCGGTGAATCGGGCTCGACAAGATGCCGCCGAAACCTGAGGCGGAGTGGGTGGGTTTTGTCCGCTCAAAGCTGGGGGAAATAATTATGTGACGTAAATTAGCCCATTTGTTCCCATGTTGTCGATGCTTGTAAGGCGGCCCATCTCAAACGCTTGTTGAGTGAATATATGCGGACAAGTTTCCATAACCTGCTGCCTTCGTTTCTGGCCGGTATTAGCATCGTTAGCCAGCCAATACTGTTAGTGGCCTCCTTTGTTGAGCAATGTTTAGTCGCTCGCCGGCCACTTGAAAATGTTTCTTCATGAAATTATACTAAGTGCGGCAAGCTGTCGATCAGAAACCTGGCAAACCCCCTCTTTCACAATGATTGCCTTCTACCGTGAGTAGATTGTTCCAGTCGTTTTTTGTTTGCGTTGTCATATATCTGAAAGTTTCCAAAGCTGGAACAGCTCGCATCATTCATTCCTGGGCCAGTGACGTTTATCCCACCGGGCGCCAATGGACCTTCTTCTTGCTAAAGGGCGGGGTAAACCAATGTTGAACTCCGTTGATTAGCACTTCCAACCAAAGAAGAACTCAGGAACCAATAGTTTCGGAGTAAAGATAGGCCCTTAAGAGAATAGTATCGGTTTTGGCACGAAATAGGTTCATTATCACACGGTGGGAGATGATATAATGTGTAAAAATCCGACTCACCAGGGTCACATGTAGCTGCGACCGGGGTTCCCTTGGTTGTGTCAGTTTATTTAGAGGACTGAGAGCTGACTCTTGACAGCAGAGTATATGTAATTACTTTAATAATCTTGTCATTTCCATGCCAAGAGCCGAGGTCGATCTCATCGATGAACTATTCTAGTTCTTCCAAAACGCCACCACTCAGCTTATTAGATACGGTCTATTGATGCGAGACTGCGGCACACGATGTCAGCTGCGTCATGGTGCATTAGCCTTGAAAGGGGCTAGTCGCTTACTGAGACATAGCTCCGGTGAGCGGAAATCAGAGCATTACCGATTTTTGCTTACGCTATTGATGCAAAATCCCTCAACAATTCCTAGGTATTGTCGGTTGTGGTCACAAACATGGAGAGTTCGCCAGGCCTCGAAACTAAGAGATCCGAAGACTAGTCTATTCTAGCGACAGCACGGTTGATTGCTGAAACTGACAGACCTAAGCGCAACCTCTAATCCTGCACCCGAACGAACAGGCGACTTGTCAGCGTGTTGTAGAGCGCTCAAAATGACCAGAAAGCGCAAGCAAATCCGATTTGAAGAGGGCAGCGACGAGTCTTGGTCCGGTTCGTCGAACTCATCGAGATCCAGTGTCGCCTCCTTTCACCGAGAGTCTTACCCCAAAAAAGGGAAGACACGTATTCCAGCAAGGCTGGTCTCGAAGCGGGCTTTGATTGATCTAGGCTACCCATTTGTCGAAGAGGGTACTACGATTATTCTGCTTGTAGCACTTGACGAGCGCCTCATTGACCAAGTTCTGAAGTTGAGCGAAGAGTATCGCAAATCAGATATCGAAGCCTTCCAAGACAGAGACATAGAAGAGCCGATATATCAGACAAGGAATCGAAGCTTCGACTGGGTCAATGTCGAATTGCCTGCTGAAGAAGACCTACTACCAGATGCAGGCTATGATGAAGTATCGAATGACGACCTGGACTCAGCGTTCGACGACGCAGGCCATGACGAGCTCGAAGGCCCGGTGGCATATTCCGGAGTTCTCAGCCTCAACACTACAAAAGTATTTGGAGATAATGGTATCGAAATTTCGACTGGTAGACTCCCATCTTGGAATCAGGAAAAGTCAGAGCTCATCAACGGTGTTACCCACCTTTACTCAGTGCATGCGGCAGAGTTTTACATGGACCGGGCAGGAAACCAGAGAATCACGCTTGTGTGCCCCAATGATCCTGGAAATGGGATCAGTGCGCCTTCTTCAGTTCGCATGAGATGGCTGTAAGCACACAAATGACCTTTGGCGAGGATACTCGGATATTCATCACATCGTAGTCACTTACAAGCTCAGTCATTAAATACTGAAACTCTGAAAGTAAGTCATCTTGCCCCTTTCAACAAATTTCCCTGGAACTATATGGCTGATATCGCAGTAAAACAGAGTCTCGTGGCAGACTGCCCCTACATATCCCAGCCTCTGAAATCAGTTGCCTTAACGGTCTTGAAGGAGGTCACAGTGAGGTGCGTGAGGCCTTCGGAGACCGGGTCTTACATAGAACCTGGATCGACTATTCAATACATAGGGAGGTACAACAGGTCTCTCGGAAGTTATCCAGGCGATGAAACATTCGATACGGAGCCTGTTGTGTTCTTGTCTGCACCTTACCTAGTTCTCGCAGACACTTTGTCTCGAAAAAGACACCATGGGAATCATAACGCAAGAAGTCTCTTAGAGGTGCTTTACGGATACGACAACGGGGCCTATGACGAACCGCAGGGTGATCAAGGGGATTTCATGAGCTTATCAACATTGCAAGTGCCTCAGCTTTGGTCTTTGACAATTGGTGCAGGTAAGTAACAAGGCCGTGAATTTCTGAACTTTGAGCTGTCAGTGAGAAAATTCTCAACACAAAAGCAGACTTGATCATCACTTGTTCCGAGCTGTCCTCCGAAGAGATACAGGAAGAGTTGATCACAATTGATGGTATAAACTCACCAACGGGAGTATACACCATCAGGCTTATTGATGAGAAGGATACTTGTCGGTATCATATTGTCATTAAGCCAGACTGCAAATACGTCGTAAGTAGCAACCGTCTCCTTTTTTTATTCAACTATCAGTCAAACCACGCAGTCTAAAACTATTACTCAGGACTTTCTGAGACACGCAATCTCACTTGTTAATAAGGGGCGCTCAAATGCAATGGCCTACGATTTGGTAGATGATTCCGGTGTATTGGTAACAGCAGACATCTGGTTGCGGCTACTTGCAGAAGGCTTCATTGAAGAATACGTTTTCTGCCTTCGACCAAGACACGCAGCCCGCAAGATACCAGACGAAGATTTCCGTGCCCTATCTGCAAAGCTTACTGCGGGGAGCCGCAGTAGTCTTGGGAGATACTCGCGTCGAAGGTAAAATGAATTACATCCAAAGTCGTTGGACTTATTAACAATTGCGCAGTTCATTTCTGTCTGAATTTGGAAGTTCTAGTCACAACATGCAAATGGTTGTGCACCCTAGCATGTGGGATTATGGCGCTGGCTCTCGATTATCATATTCAGAAGATGGTAAAGAGGGTGACGGGTCTGAAATGGAAATTGAGACATCGACTATGTCTTTCGGGTCTCACTTGAATGAAGCTGACTCTGAAAGCTCTTCAATCGACGGAATCGTTGATTTAACCTCCTCTCCACCCAAGACAAGCCCCAGGTCGAGACAACCGCACGAGTCTGGCTTACCGCGATCCCTCAAAGATGATTATGTGCCAGAACTCTTTGATATGGACCATTACAACAGTTTTGGAAGTGGACAGATTGCTTGGGTGCGCAAAATCGAAGCAGATACCAAATTTGCCTCTTTGCTAACCAAATTTTTTTGGGCAGAATGAAACCCCCTATTCGCAGGCAGAAAAGTTTGACACAGGTGGTCGACTTGACAAGCGATTCGTGGTTCAACGTCTTGAAACAGCTCGCTCAGCTGATAGTCAAGCAACCGACCCATATACACCTCCTTCATCGTCGAGACAACCGTCTACTGGACGAAGTTTGAATCCTTCGACCGCGTCGACATTTACTTATTCTCATAATTCACCACCGCTTGGCCCAGAACAACTATCAGGCCTGTTTGACCCTAACGAGACTATTGTACCGCCATCAAACAGGGCAGAGTCATTCTTAAATTCGGTTCCTGGACCAACACCAAGCGCTTATTCAAGCCGGGGTTCTGAAGCACGATTTCCACCGCTCGACATCCCAGATGTGGATTTTGTTCCATTCCTGGCATGGCGACTAACATGGAAAGATGACAGAAGATCAAGAGTCGAGATCGATAGAACACTGCTTCAACTTTTGAGCAATCTCAATGCTAGCCTTGAATCGAATAGCACTGGAATGTGGTATAAATCGATGTTTGGATGCACCAAGACGCAACTCATCGAGAGATTCAACTATCTTACAGAAGCGGTGCCCTCGTGTCCTCAAAGATATAAGAGGACTCAGAAGACCGACAGCTCAACAGCTCACACCCCAATCCATAACCACCCTGATACTGATGCACCAATGACGCCAGATCCTGAGTCTATTCCGCCAGGTCTGTATTCGCAATCGACTCCTGCTACCAAGCGTACTTCTCAGGGCTTTGAACCTCGCGAATCTACGTTATTCGGATCCACTGATGTTGACACCGCAGACGGCCTGACCAATAGTGATGCTGAGTGTGTCCACCACCTCGACGCCGATTCAGCTAGGGGCAGCAAACAACATTTCTATGATAGCATTCCTCGGAACCATCAACGGATCTCCCTTGATGAGTTTGTTTTACGAAGAGTCCTTGATGTTTCTCGGGATGCCTTTGGGGCATTTCTCCCCGAAGAAGGGGGTTTCATTGCTCACACGTTGTGCACGCGATTTTGGGGTTCAGTTGATGCGATTTTAAGAGTACGAAAATCCCATCTTGTTGTCACACTTTGAATCAAAGAACGTTACTGATTGGAACATGTCGTAGCAAATACGTTGGGCATTGAACGTACGAGATAAAACAGAAGAACGATCTTGGTTAGTAGTCCGCCCATCTCTTTGCTCTATTGTGCAAGATGCGGCATTCCAAAACTCTGGCAATGTTCTGTTCTCGCATTGTGGTAAATGCCAGGACGGTAAGGAGTATGAGTCTGCAGAAGATGCTCTGAACCACTGGCACGACAACCACATGCGTACACCGTGTTCACAGCCAATGAAACGAGGCAGACCATTCGATGATCCGTGTTTTGTTTGGATCTGCCAGACGAGTAGAACAGAAACATCAACCAAACGACGAGGTCGCATAAAGAACGAAGTTGTTTCAAACGCTGAGGATTTCTACGGGGAAGTCCAAAACGTTGTTGATCAAACATCAGAGCTACATAAGCTGGTTAGTAGTGTCACCGCGCCAGACGACATGTTCGGCTCCGATAGCTGCAGACCCCCATTACCGAGTAGTCTAGTCAGTGCCTTTGAAGGGCTACTCAGCATGTTTGTTCTCAAAGCCAAAGAGCTCTCTTGGATGAACAGATTTGCCGTCAAGTCCGGCTCGTCTTATAGTCGCAATGCAGAGCGCAGATTGAATCGACTAAAGGAAGCCGGCCGGCTTACGTCAAGACGCGTTTGCGAAAACCTCATTAGGGCCAAAGAAGACATCATCATGTTGGGTACCACCAAGGGAGACTCGGAGAGAATCATCATTGCCCCGATCGGCCCCGAGTTCTTGGGAGCATGTTTGATAAACAATCTACAAAACAACATCCAAATTTCAGGCACTGAAAGGAAACTGGATTTGATCGCTCATTATCGCAACCAGATTTCTAGGCTATGGTTCAACACCAACAGAAAACCCAATAGGAAGGCATTCGTTGAGATCCACGCACTGGAAGAGGAGCTAGAAGCCTTGCGAACCGTGGTTACTTCCCAGTCATACTTGTTGAAGTCTTACCAGAAGCTTCTTTCGCCTTTATCCTTCAGGTCGCGAACGACAAACCGGCTGTACTATAAAGAACGCAAGGCTTCATTCAACCTTGAGAACAAGTGCATACGCAGACAACAACGGAGGCTTGCTGAACGAGATAAAGCACTATCGATCCTGCAACGAAAGGCCAGAACGTTGAGGGACGAAACAAAGCAAAGGATTGAGATACTCGATGAGGGCCACGGAAAAGCAATCCGTGTATTCACCATTGTGACTCTTTTCTTTCTACCACTGTAAGGATCCATGCTCATCCATGAATTGTGTTTCGACTAATACCTATCTCCTTCCCAGTTCATTTGTTGCAAGTTTCTTCGGGATGAACACCACCGACATCAGGGATATCAGCCGCGACCAGAAGATCTTCTGGACTTCGGCGTTACCTGTGACAGTCGGGGTGCTTGGACTCGCATTTCTCTATGGCTACAAATGGGATCTGATCTTAGCATGGGCGTCTAGGATTTTCAAGTCGCCTGACAGAAGTGCAACATGCTACGCACCTCAAGACAAGGAGCGATTGACATGGATGTCGACTACAGAACACAGAGATTCCGAGTTGCCGGTGCATCATGAGAGGCTGAGCCCTACTAGTTGGAAGAACAGAATGTCGTTTCTCTCTGGACGACAGTTCAAGAGTAAGGACCCTGTTTCAAGGACCAAAACTGATGATAGTCTGTTTCGTCCGTAGGCAATACGTATGTCGACGACTTTACCTTCAGATGAGTGTTCACCACAAAGCTCGGTATACCAACTATTATCAGCTTCAACGGGTAATATGTCTGTGATCCTTCAATGTTCATCCTTGAAGCCAGCGTAGTATTCTGAAATGATATATAATGTGGTATGCAGGGAGTTTCTACGTGACGTGCCTATTTTTCTGCAGGCGGTTTCGCGGCAGCCTGTCCCTCTTCTGAGTGCTCTCTCTCTAGGCCGTCGGTATCGAACAGCGTCTCCTGGGCTGAAATGAATGTTAGTAAATCTTGAGATAAGGCAACGATGGTGACTTACCACTCCAGAGCTCAGCATATAGCCCGCCCCGGTCAATGAGCTCTCTGTGCGTACCCATCTCGGCCACATTACCCTCCTTGAGCACGATGATGAGATCCGCGTCGAAGATGGTGCGTAGTCTATGAGCCACGAAAACGCTGGTGCGCGCCTTTTCACGCAAAATGCTGTTGATGTTGAGCATGAGCGCCTGCTCAGTATGGGTGTCCAGGGCGCTCGTTGCTTCGTCGAAGAACAGCAAGGGAGGATCCTTTAGGAGTAGTCTGCTAACGGCCAGACGCTGCTTCTCACCACCGGATATCATCATACCACGCTCTCCCACCCTGGTGTTGTATCCATCAGGGAACCGCTCGATGATCTCGTGAATACGTGCCCGCTGAGCAGCGGCAATGACCCGATCCTGGGGCGCTGACATGTCACCGTAACGGATGTTGTGCTCAATGGTGTCGTTGAAGAGAGGAGTGTCTTGAGGGACAACTCCAATAGCCCGACGAAGAGAGTCGACCTGGACCTGGCGGATGTCCTGGTCGTCGATGAAGATGCGGCCAGACTGGGCATCGTATGAACGGAAGAGAAGGCGGAGGAGGGTAGACTTGCCGCAGCCACTAGGGCCGACAACAGCAACCTTCTTGCCAGCAGGGATGGTGAGGGAGAGGTTGCGGAGGATGGGACGGTCTGGATGATAGCCGAAGGTAACGTCCTCGAATCTGATCTCACCACCCTTGGACAAGGCCAGAGGCTTCGCGTTGGGGGCGTCCTTGATGGAGACGTTGACCTTTTGCAAGCTGAAAAGCGTCTCCATATCAAGCAAGGACTGCCGTAGCTCACGGTACACGGAGCCGAGGAAGTTGAGGGGAACCGACAGCTGGAACACCAGCTGGTTGACCATGACCAAGTCACCGACGGTCAGCGTGCCCTGGGCAACGCCGTCCGCCGCCAAGTACATCATGGCAGTCAAGGCTGACGAGAAGATGATGTTCTGTCCGCTGTTGAGGAAGGCCAAGGAAGTGGCAACCTTGATGGAACTCTTCTCGTAGGCCTGCAGGGCCTGGTCGTATCTCGCAACCTCGAATTTCTCGTTGTTAAAGTACTTGACGGCCTCGTAGTTGATCAGAGAGTCCACAGCAACTGTCGATGCCTTGTTGTCGGCCGCGTTGGCTTGCCTCCTGAACTTTGTTCTCCACGCCGTCGTCCAGATTGTGAAGGCAGTGTACCCGACCATCGTGAGGATGGTGATGGCGGCGAACTTTGCGCCGTACTGCCACGTCAAGATGCCGCAGACCATGGAGATTTCCAGAGCCGTTGGAAGGATATGGAAAACCATGCTCGTCAACAAGAAGCTGATTCCCTTGGTTCCGCGGTCGATCGCTCTCGTCAGACCGCCAGTCTGTTTGGACAAGTGGAAGCTGAGATCCAGCCGCAGCAAATGGTCAAAGACATTGCAGGCGACTCTGCGAATCGCCTTCTGGGCCACGGAGGCGAAAACGGCATTGCGCAGCTCCTGGAAGACCGTCGCACCTATCCTCGTCGCACCGTATGCCACAATCATGCTTCCCGCTATCGTTGCCGCCGTGCCGCCGGTGGCGCCGAAGTCGATGTTCATGGAATCGACAATGCTCTTGAAGTAGAATGGGACCTGCACGTTGAGGACCTTTGCGCCAATAAGCAAAGAGACGGCTAGCCCAACGCGAAACTTTGTGCTCATGCTGTCCTTGGGCCACAGGTACTGCGACATTTCCTTCATGATTGCCCAGTCGGCCTTGCGCTGTTCCTGTGCGCTCTTCTCAGGCGTGGCCAGAGGGTCGACGGCGGCGGCAGGCTTCTTGGCCTTCACAACGACGGGCTCAGCCTTCAATGCCTTCTCGGAGGATTTGTCGCCGCCATCGCCAGGGTTTGTCGTCGTCGGATTCTTCGGTTGCTCGCGTCTTGCCGGTGCGCTCGTCTGGAAGATGCGGATCGGAGCTCGCGGGCTCTGGGGGAGCCAAGGAGGACGACAAAACTGTGTATGTGTGATGCCCCGAGGGCAGGCCAAAGGAGCCCTGGTTACGGCTCGAATTATCATCGTTGTCGTGCCCTACGCCGCAGCTCGATCATTTTCCTCGTGTGTTCTGCGCGAGGTTCGGTCAGCGATGGCGGGGACATTTCGAGCCGGGCTACCGATTGAAATGCTTCCGGAGAATGCTTGGAAGGGTTTATACTGGGCGCAACTCACCACAATTGAGGGATTGAGACGGCAGACACAAGACCACAATTGGTCACGGGCTGGAGAGAGGGAAGTTCGTCAATAATCGGCGGGGCTCGAGGTGTTGGTCGCGGCGATGATGCACACATAGGCGGGAAAGTCGCAAACAGCGGGCTCGGCTTAGTCGAGCTCCTCGGTCGGAATGATGCAATCGCCTGCGCCTTAGGCACCTTGAGAGCCCGCCCGATTGGTCTCCACACCTGCCCACCGACACTCACCGAGGACCAACAAGGTACCCGGGTTTTCACCGAGGGCCACCGATCCTCACCGAGACAACTTTTTTTGCTGATACACAGCATGACAAGGTGGGGCCAGATTTTCTCTAGCTATCCGTCTAGGTTGGGTTGGGACTATGCGGCTAAACAGTCATCAACCTACCGCTCAAATAGCATGAGCCTTTCTATGTATCAAAGACATGCAGTGGATGGTCTCAACTACAACAAGGGAAATGAACGTGGGTTTGTGGCCTCTCATACCAAAACCCTGAAGTACCCTGTGTCCACGACGTTCGGACTGTGTTCATTGGGAACCGATTACCAGCAGGGGAAGAACGTGAATAGCATCTGATGCACAGACCTGACGATGTCTTTTACAAACCACGGTATGATTCTGCTATACAGCTTTCGATCTTTAGCACCACTTCTCTGAAGTCATCGGCAAGCGCGTCACAGTCACCCAATGCTAGCCCTTGTGGAACTGAAGTCGGAGTTTTGCAGCGCAATCACATTCTTTCTTATTGGCGCTCTTGCAAAGCCAGAGGTTTCTTGGGCCTTGGGAGTTCCAACCACTGGCCATGTACCGAGTCTTAGTCCTCATGTCATCTGATTACACCGCCAAGTGTGCTGCGCTGTGGCAGCCCAATGCTGCCCACATGGTAAGCTCATAAACGCCTGGATCGACGCTAGGATGCGGCATTGAATGGCTGCTTCTTTTTGGGAAAACTGGCGATAGGGCGAGACCGCGGTCTCTTTGAATTGACGAGATCGCGTTGATCTCTTGCAGGGAACGGTGATTTCCAAAAAGCCGTTTAAGGGGCAAGCCACGCGTCGCCTACTTAGAGACGGAAATCCCGATAATAAGCCCGGGTTTTCCGACAGACTCAAAAACAAAAATTACACACAAAAGACCCCGGACAGTTAATCGATGCACGTTAAAGGCTCATAAGGCCTGGTAAAGGTGTGACTAAGGGTGGAGCATCTTCGGGCCTTAATTCATACCCCTTTTCGTCATGCCTCGCGATGGCGCTTCTTCGCCATTTGCCTCGTAAAAAACTGCAATGGGCCACACCCGGTCAAGTTACTCGGCGCTGGTTGCAATAGGAATTTCTGGGCAAGTTTGAACGAGAACGCAAGAAGCTCACCTGTCATCCTGTTAATACCCCGACACTAGTCACTTGCTCGGGTTTTGAGTGATGAGCCTGAACGCACGTGGGGGTGAGCATGTCAACCGCACCGGCATCCCGGGACCAACTCCCACATGCCGGCAGATGGAAGTTTCCCGATAAATGGGGCCCAACGTGGATCGTCCTCGCGGTAGACTACGGAGGTCAGCTCGGAAATCGGCGATATTTCCCCACCGGCCGCGCAACGATGATGGCGGAGCAAGAAACTGTTCCCTCGAGAAATAAGGAATCACCCCCGATATAAGTTGGGATGTTTCGCCAAGATGTAGGCTTCAGACGAACACTCGGCTTGTACATTCTTTCTTCTTGCTTGAAATCAACCTTCTTTTGCCCTTCATGAGAGTTTCAACCTCGGCCAGCGCTCTCGCTGCGCTGTCTTTCGCTTCGTCCACGTTCGCTCTTTCGAACTCTACTGCTTCAACCACAAGCGCTATTCTGTCTGACGGATATGGTATGTGAAACAAGCACCTCGACTTGTCCAGAATGTTTCAGCTGAGCCTTATTCATAGTCTCATTCGGTCGCTACGATGATGCCTACCAAAAGGCCAAAGCTTTTGTCGCTACGCTCAACAATGCCCAGAAAGTCTCCATCATCACCGGACAAAGCGTCACCGGTAACGCCACCTGGACGGCGTTGAATAACAAAGATGGCGCTTCTGGCATCAACTACCAGTTTTATGTTTCCGGTTTCTCCATGGCCAACGCCTTGACTATGAGCTGGAACCGTCAGCTCTATGAGCAGCAGTTCAAGGCCATTGGCGACGAGTTTTATGGCATGGGTTACAACCTTATCAATGGTCCCGTGGCCGGTCCTCTCGGGCGGACCCCGTACGGTGGACGGACCCCCGAGAGTTTCGGTGCGGACCCCTACCTCACCGGTATTGCCATGGGTAAGGCCATTTCTGGCATGAACTCTGCCGGTGTCATTGCTGGTGGCCGCCACTTCCTCCTGAACGAGCAGGAGACGAACCGATCCTCCAGTCTTTCTTCGAGCAGCACTAGCGTCTACTCCTCCAACGCCGACGACAAGACGATTCACGAGCTCTATGGCTGGCCTTTTGCCGATGGTGTCCAAGCCGGTATGATGGCCGTGATGTGTGGCATGACCCGCGTCAACGACACCCTCTCTTGCGAGAACAACGACCTCATCAGCGCCGTCCTCAAGAAAGAGATGGGTTACCTTGGCCTCGTTTTCCCCGACGTCAACTCTCAGACCACTTCCTACGGGTCTGCCAACGCCGGTCTTGACTACGGTTCAAGCAGCCTCTGGACTGAAGACATTTTCAATGCTGGCATCAACAATGGTAGCTTTACCCAGGACCGTCTCGACGACATGGCCGTTCGCAACGTCATTGGCTACTACTACGTCGGTCTCGATGACGGCAAGCAGCCTTCCAAGGCCGGAACCACTGAGTACCGCGACGTCCGTGGCAACCATTCCAAGCTCATCCGCCAGGTCGCCGGCGAATCCATCGTCCTGCTCAAGAACTCCAACGTATCCGGCCTCGGACTGCCTCTGAAGAAGCCTCGCACCATCTCTCTCTTTGGCGCTCACGCCGGCCCCGCTCTTGCTGGTCCCAACCAGCCCTTCAGTGTCGTAGGAACCGATAGCGACGTCTATCAGGGTCACCTTGTCACTGGCACTGGCTCCGGTCAGCTCTCCCTCCCCTACGTTGTCACCCCCTTCCAGGCCATCTCTTCCCGTGCCATTGAGGACAACAGCATGATCTGGTGGATTCTGAACAATACCTACACTTCTTCTTCTTCTGGCGGCGCGGGTGGTGGCATGGGCGGCGGTGGTAGCTCTCCCGGCGGGTTCTCTGGAAACAGCACCGGAGGCGGCATGGGTGGTGGTATGGGCGGCAACAGCACTGGCGGTGGAATGGGCGGCGGCGGCGGCGGCGGCCTTGGCAACCTGGGATCGGGCACTGCCACGACCCCTTCATTCACTAACTACGCCGAGAACTCCGAAGTCTGCATTGCCTTCATCAACTCGTACTCCGGCGAGGGTGGTGACCGCAGTGCGCTGTTCGACGATGAACAGGACACCATGGTCACCTCTGTCGCCTCCAACTGCAACAACACCGTCGTCGTGGTCAACACTGCTGGTCCCCGTCTCCTCGATGCTTGGATCGAGCACGAGAACGTCACCGCCGTTATCTACTCTGGTCTCCTTGGTCAGGAGAGCGGCAACGCCATCGCTGATGTCTTGTACGGCGACGTCAACCCCAGCGGCAAGCTCACCCACACCATTGCCAAGAGCGCCGATGACTACCCCGTCTCGATCTGCTACACTGCGGAGTGCGACTTCACCGAGGGTGTCTCCATCGACTACCGCTACTTCGACCTGAAGAACAAGACCGTTCGCTACCCCTTCGGCCACGGTCTCAGCTACACTTCCTTCTCCTACGGCGAGGTTGACGCCAAGGTCACCAACCAGTCCGCGATCGACTCCAAGTACCCCACCGGTACTCTGGTCCCCGGCGGCCAGGAGGACTTGTGGGAGGAGGTTATCAGCGTCAAGTCGACCGTCAAGAACGATGGCGGTCTCCAGGGTGCCGAGGTTGCCCAGCTTTACATCAGCTTCCCTACTGAGGCCGCCCAGCCTCCTCGCATCCTTCGCGGTTTTGCAAAGATTGATCTAGCACCTGGTGCCGCTGGCGACGTCACTTTCAGCCTCCGCAGACGTGATATCAGCTACTGGGATACCGCTGCGCAGAAGTGGGCTATTGCCAGCGGAAAGTACACCTTTTCTGTCGGTGCCAGCTCGCGGGATATCCGCGCTACTGCTGACATGACTATCTAAGTCATGAACGCATTTTCTTTGTACATACTTTGTCAAAATTTTATATGTCCTTGACGTTAGATTGTGCAACCTGTGCCATAGACCATAGAATAGATACTTCACTGTAACTCATTGTTTCTTCCTCAAACCAACTCATCCACGGGCAGCACACTTGGCACATGTTCCCTCAGCAAGCCAATTATCCATTGAAGTTCTGGTAGAACTTAGACCAGCGAGCTGCCCTCCGTTAATCATCCTCCAATTTGATAGCGCATGGCGATCTCGACTCCGATGTGTCTTGACATCGCATGCTTCAAGGAGTTCAATGACGATCCCCTCTTTGGTCCTTATTTGATATACTAGCAGCCCATTACCAAACCCCTTGTCACGATAACTGGCAAGAAAACCGTTGCGGTTCGCTGGCTCGAACTTACTCCCAGTGCGAAGGTGTCCCAGACGAGTCTCTGTTTTGTTGATGATTATAAAAACCTATTGACAGCAGCCAGACTTGCCTTTCGTTCTGTTCGCCACATCTGTTGATCTTATCCGCGTCAATGCCCAAAGCAAAACGAGCCCCAATCCAACACTTATCAATATGGTTTCACTCTACAGCTTTCACGGTCCATTCCGGTGCGATCGCCATGTACGAAGCCCTAACCCAGCTACCAGGCTCTTTCCAAGCCCGGCCTGGCGTACCTCCGTAAGTAGATCTTAAAAGTGCGTCCAAACCGTCTTGCCAGGAGCACTGCAGATTTGGCGACGACTAGAAGGTAACTTATGGTCTGAAGAATGAAGTTGTATCTGAACAGACATCAGTGACCTGGGATCGCAGAGATACCCGGCCCTTGCACCGATTCAGAGGGTATATTAATTTATGTAAAGGGACAAAGTATATCTAGGCTCTGAACAGTCGTTGTTTCCTGAGAAAGTCTTCTGGCCCCGTGACCTCAGCCCCTGATCAAGCCTTGCAGTTGTTGTGGCTCTCCAACATCTACGTTGGGCCTGTGACGTGCAGGGGAGTCTTTAGATACCGCTACTTACTTTCCACCTGGAAAGAATCGTCGTCGTTTAAAAGTCCTAGATTCATCCCTACCTCTCTGTGATAGTACCGTTTCCAGGCTTCGGCAAGACAGTAAACTTTGTAGTCAGGCCCTTCCAGCTGTTCGCATTTTGGGGGTTCGCAAACGGAACCAAGACTGCGAACCTCATCCTGGTGGTATCGTCAGTTAGCTCAGACCAACTTTACTGCGAAGCCTCTTCTTGTTTTGGGTTCGACCAGTGACGTCGGTCTTGAACTTACGTGTAATTGCCCGGCCCAACGGCACTGCCATCAGCAAACCGCCCAAACCACCAATAACTCGTCGTGAACCCGCCCGTCGTCAGGGCGTTCCTTGCGACGTCCGTCTCGGGCAGCGTGATCACGTCGCTCGCATTGTGGCGCGCCGGGTTGAAGCTGGAAGAGCTGCCGGCGCCAGCCCAGGAGGTGGCCGAGCCTATGTAGCTCCGGCGGCCGGGAACCGGCGGGTACTCCCAGTCTCGTTTTTCGTCAAAGGCAGACTCGTAGATCTGCGGCCGTCAGCAACTATTCGTTCCGTGTTCCTCCAGACTTGGCAAACGGAGACGGAAAGATGATGAATGAGACGTACATCCCAGCGGACTTCTCTCGTCCCCCACTTGATCTTCATGAAAATTTTGGGAAAGTCCTGCGCCGCGCTGCCGAGATCGAAAGTGAACCTGTCCCGATGTTAGTACGCCCCAATCAGACTCTGACAAAAACCCACGTCGTCTTGTTGCTGTAAGCAGTCGTCGACCTCAGCCACGGATAAGTCCCATGAAACGGGCTCTGCATCTGCTCCTTCAGATCGAACGCCAACCCTTGGAAAGGCACAGCGACGACCTCTCCATTGCTGCCTTTGATGAGAACGCGGCCACCGTAGGCTGGGAGAGCCGTCTGGTTGACGCCCTGGGGCCGCTCGAAAACGAATCTTGCCGAAATCAGTACTCTCTCCTGCATTTCGTCAAGCTGGGTGAAGCCTCGGGCATTCGACTCACTTTGCCTTCCTCTCCTCCCCGGGTCCCAACTCAAACTCGCCCGGTAGACCAATGTCGACGGAGATGTTTGCTGGGACTATCTCGGGGCGATATCGAATCCTCGGCGTCTCCGCCGGATCCCGTTCGTCGTACGGGTTGAGCAGCTCGACCCCGGCCCAGCTCTCCACCTCGAATCGGTACTTCACTCTCTCTTTGCCGGTGTTCCTCACCGCAACCCCCTGGTCAGCTCGGAAGTGCAGCGTGTCGTTCAACCCGAACCGCCGGAGCTCCAAGCTAGTGGCGTACTTGACGACCTTCTTCGCGTCGACGAGTCCTCCGCCAACCTGCTGCGACGGCGCCCTGAACGCCGAGTCCGCACCGCCACCGTACAACAGCCACGGCAGCGACGCCCCGGACGAGATGATGCGCATGGCGAGATCCTTTGCAAAGTCCTTGCCGTGCACACCCCTTCCGCCATGCTGGGAGATGTACAACGCCGCCACGCCCGCCACGTACGGCGTCGCCATGCTCGTGCCGCTCAGCAAGACAAACTGGTTGTCGTCGCCTCCCGGCCAGGTGCTGAACACGTCCGTGCCGGGCGCCGCAGTGTCGGGCTTGACCGAGAGATCGTACAGTCCGCCCCAGCTCGTGAAATACGACGGCTGGACCGTGTCCCCCGTGGAGTTCCTCCTGACCTCCGCACTCGCCACGCTGAGGACGTTCTCGCCCGAGCTGCCAGTGCTGGCATAGTAGGGCCCGCCGTTGCCCGAGTTCCCGGCGCCGATGGTGACAACGACGCCCTGCGCGGCGATCCGGCTCGCCACCACCGCCCAGGCGTTGTTCGCGAACCCGCCTCGGCCGCCGATGCTGGCCGTAATGACGTCCATCCCGTCGTCGTACGCCCGGAGGAACGCGTCGATAATGGTCGCCTGGTCGGTCCCATCGCCCGACCCAAAGACCTTGTACGCATACAGACTCGCCTTGGGCGCCACGCCCGTCCACCCCGACTCGGACTCCCCAGCCAAGATGCCCGCAACGTGAGTGCCGTGGCCCTGCTCATCAGCAGGATCCGCGTCAGGCTTCTTCGCCGCGCCAACCTTCCACCCGTCGCCGACGTGGTCCCAGCCGCCGACGACCTTGAACCCCGGGCCGAACCCTCCTCCGAGCGCGGCGTGCTTATACCATACGCCCGTGTCCACGATCCCGACCTTGACGCCCTGGCCGAGGATGCCTTCCTTATGGAGCTCGTCGACGCCCGTAGCCCAGTGCACGGCGTGCGCGTCAGCGGTGCCGGGGTCGACGCTGACTTGGCGTTTGACGGGGGCAATCAGCCTGGCCTTGCTGTTCGGCCAGACGCCCACGACGTCGGGGAGGACGCGGAGCGTGTCGAGGTTGTGGTTGTCTGTCTCGAGGCTTGCGCCCGAGAAGACGGCGGACTCGAAGGTCTTGAGCACCCTGATCCCCTTTTCGGATAGGAGCTCGTCACGCTTGGTCTTTGAGCGGACACCCTGGGTTGGTTAGCGGGGGCGGTTGCAAAGGGGGTGGGTGAGTGGTGCGCGACATACGCTGGCGAATTCGACAATGAATCGCTTCGCTTCGACCTCGACCTTGACTTGGTCTCCGGCATCGTCCTGCGCGGCGCCCCTGGCAATGAGCACCAGGGCGGGCAATAGCTGAGCGAAACGCATTATAAAACCCAGCTCAATTGACTGGCCTGGATCCGATCGTCATGGTGTCGGCCGCGAAGCAGCGAAGACTCTGATATATGACGATCAACGCACATCACACCTCCTCCTCATCGCGCAAGTCGCGGTCCCCGCCGTCGCAATCTAATGACCCGCAGCGTCGCGTGGACAAGGGCCAAATAGGCTCGTTCCTGCAGACGAGCCAACCTCGGACAGGTAGGTCGAAAGCGGCTTTGGGCCCCGGTCCGCCATTTCGGGATGAGCCAAGGCCGAGTTCTGTTGATAGCGGCAGTTAGGGTGTGCCACGGCCTCGTCGAGAATTGTGTCGTTTCTCATCAAGCTGGACAAACCGCAGGGACTCGTAGGAACCGAGGCTGGAGTGAATTTCTTCGCTGCTCGGCCACCTTCGTACGTGGAGAGAGGGTGACGAGCAACATAGTCGCATCCGCCAAGAGATCCACCGAGATGAGGACCTTGAATCTGCGCAAATGTGCTCTTGGGTCTTTCGGGTCTGAATCACGCCCGTCCGTGGAAGCATCTCCTCTGTGGTGCTCCACGGTCGCCTTGCCCCCATCTCATCTCATGACTTTTGATATGTCGGCGAACGGTACGATGAGAAAAGACGCTTTTGAAGTCAAGTTCGGCCATTCGGGCGAGCGATTGGTAGAGTGAGAGTGAGAGCCAGAGCCAGAGTCAGGGACTGTTGTGTCGATCCGACGATCATTAGCACAGCCGCAGCAGATGCGACCTTCTTTTCTGGGCCGCGTTGCGTTTGTGGCCCTTCAATGTTACCTCAGTCGACATGTGATAAGCGTCACTGTGTCACGATCACGGAGCTCCCAGTCACAATTGTAGTCAAATAATAAGAGTCTATATGCATCTAGGCCATCTCTCCGGGCCATCCCGCTCCCATGCTGAGCTCATGCATCATGCTTCGTGTCAACTACCCTTTGCTCGATGACGTCTCGCTCGGTGTTCATCGGCGTTCTTGCTGGAAGACCAAAACATGGAGAACAAATTACCAAACGGCTGGATAACAAAACCAAAACCAAAACAAACCAATGCCCGTTCTACCCATACTCCCGGCTGTACGATATCCCATTCCATCACAGCTTACTCTGCTTTGTGCCGAGTCACTTCTCCGACTCGGGGATGTGGCCCTCGACCGTGCTCAGGGCGGCGAGGTTGACCTGGCCAAAGTGCTCGTGGCTCTCGCCGCCAAGGCCGACGCCGACAAGCAGCGCGACGCACTCGACGACGTCCTCGGGCTCCAACAGGTGCCACCTGGCCAGCGTGACCTTGGTGCTGGCACCGACCGTGACGGTGAAGACGTGGTCGTTGTCGACCTCGGTGCCCGCCAGGCCGTTGAGGGCGCGGAACATGTCCTCGTCGGTGAAGTCGTCGCCCAGGCAGAGGACGAACTCGACGCGGCCCGGGTGCTTGTCGGAGGCGGGCGCCGAGTTGTACGTGTGGACGAGGCGCTTGGCGATCTCGCCCTTGTTGATAAAGGTCGGCCGGACCTCGAGGTTGGCCTTGCCCTCCATGACCTCGACATCCCACTTCTGGGCGACGGTCCCCTGGAGCTCCTTGTGGCACTCGCGCGCCATGTGCAGGCCCTGCTCGGGGTCGGCCAGTCGGTAGTGCCACGTCAGGGCGCATCGCTTGCGTTCGACAAAGGAGCCTGTCCAAAGGGTTAGCGCGTGCCCCGTCACTTTGCGTCAATGGCGAAACAGCAACAAAAACTAAAATAGAAAAAAACTTACCAGGGACCCGGTCGGTGAAGGACTGGAAGACGTCCATGACCTCGGCCTGCCAGCCCATGTCGAACTCGTCGGCGAGGTTGACCCACTCGTCGGAGCCGGGGTTCTTCATGAAGCTGCCGTGCTCGGCGCTGAAGCCCAGGCCGGCGATGTGGCCGAGGTGCTGCTGCAGAAACTCCTGGTCGCGGCCCGAGATGATCCAGACGGCGTTCCTCTCGTCGCTGGCGAGGGCCTTGAGGGTCTGCAGGACGCGCTCCGAGGGGACGGCGGCGCTGGGCTCGCGGACGATGGGGGTGAGGGTGCCGTCGTAGTCGAACATGAAGAGGCGCTTGCCGGCGTCGCGGTAGGTCTTGAGCATGAGGGCGCGGTCGAGCAGGGGCGTGGTGTGGACGTTCTTCTGGGTGCCGAGGACGTGGACGTGCTTGCGGACAAAGTGGTCGATCCAGCTCTGGACGTTGCGGGTGGTGACGTGGTTGTAGAGGCTCGTCTGCATGGCCATGCGCTTGTCGGGGGACATGGTGAGGGCGTTGTTGATCTCGACGGCGACGCCGCTCAGGTCCCAGGGGTTGATGTGGATGGCGTCCTTGAGGCTGCCGGCGGTGCCGCTGAACTCGGACAGGATGAGGGGGCCGTGGCCCTCGCGCTGGCAGATGACGTACTCCATGCTCGTCGTGTTCATGCCGTCGCGGACCGAGGTGATGAGGCCAATGTCGGCGGCGCGCAGCAGGGCGAAGTACTCGTCCTGGCTGAGGTACTGGGGGTAGTGCTGGACGGGGGAGAAGCCGAGGCTGCCGTACATGCCGTTGATGCGCATGACGAGCTCGTTGACGCGGGTGGCGATGCGGCTCTCGGGGTCGTCGTCCTTCTCCTCCTCGATGCTGGTGGGGGAGGTGACCTGGATCAGCACGACCTTTTCGCGCCAGTCGGGGTACATTTCGAGGAAGCGCTCAAAGGCCTGCAGCTTCTGGGCGACGCCGCGGACGGTGTCGAGGCGGTCGCGGCCGACAATGATCTTCTTGCCCTCGTACAGCTTCTTGAGGGCGTTGTACTTTTCGGTGACGGCGTCGGTCCAGGCGTACATCTCGCACTTGTCGGCGTTGATGCCGATGGGGAAGACGCCGACCTGGACGCGGGCGCCGTAGGCGTCGACGCCGCCGCTGTCCGAGGGGAAGCCGAGGATGCGGGTGCAGCAGCTGGCAAAGTGGCGCGAGTAGCTGTAGGACTGGAAGCCGACGAGGTTGGAGCCGAGTACGCCCTCGAGGACCTCCTTGCGGCGGGGCAGGCAGCGCAGGAACTCGGAGCTGGGGAAGGGCGAGTGCAGGAAGAAGGAGATGTTCATGTTGGGGACGCGCTGGCGCAGCATGCTGGGCAGCAGCATGAGGTAGTAGTCGTGGACGACGACGATGTCGCCGGGCTTGTAGAGCTCGATGATGCGGTTGGCAAACTTTTGGTTCATGCGGTAGTAGTCGGCCCACTGCAGGCGCTCCTTGCGGCCGTCGGTGGGCTCGTGCTGCTTGTAGTGGAAGAGGGTGTAGAGGTCGTGCTCGGCGTAGCGGCGCCACCGGCTCTGGTCCTTGAGGAGGATGCCCTCGTCCTGCTGCTCGTTGTCGTCGCAGAGCCAGACAGGCACCGTCTTGATGGTCTTGCTGTGGGCCAGCTGCGTCTCGAGGCGGGCCTGGTCCTCCTTGGGCAGCCAGAGGCCCTCGCTCGGCGGCGGCGTCGGCAGGCGGGCGTCGCCGTCAATGGGGATCGGGGCCGACAGCGTGTTGAGCGAGGAGAAGTGGACGGTGGTCGCGGGCGGGGTGCCGGGCGGCGAGAGGACATCCTGGGGGGTGTCGATCTCGCCGGTCCAGGCGACGACGGTGTGGTTCCAGGGCGTCTCGTCGGAGGAGAGGTAGGCGAAGGAGTCGAAGAGGGCGGACTGGCCGCGGCGGGGTTTCAATTCCTGGAGGGGTGCAATGATGTCAGCGCGGGGTTCATTTGGGGTTTCTGCGCTGTCGCGAGGGGGATGCGGGCACGCGACCGAGGGCCGCGCGATTGGGGAGGAAGAGTGCTAGAAGAGTGAGGGAGGAAGAGTGAAGGAGAGGGAGAGAAAGAGGGGGGGGGGGAGAGGTGCTCAAGACGGCATCACGTACCCAGTCGGAGCCCTTGCGGTACTTGAGCGAGTGCGGGATGTTGAAGGTGGCCGAGATGATGTTGCCGCTCAGCTGCAGATCGGGGTTCGCAGCGCGGATTTGCGACAGAGACTCGCGTCGACCCATGGCTGCGAGGGTCATGCGTTTGAGGATATCGCGGCCGGAGAGGGGCCCGGGGACTGGGGGAGGTTGCTATGTGCCTGCGACGAGGGGTCTTGGGCGGACGAGGCTTGCTGTTGTTGTTGTTGTTGTGATTGTGGTTGCGATTGTTGAGACGGTTGGGATTGGGACGAAGGCTGCGGATCCCGTCGACGGTCGGAAAGAGAGAAGTAGCTGGGGCCTTCGGCGCCTTGCGGGAAATAACTGGGCGACTGGGAGCGGGAGCTGTCGCCCGAGACGTACGTGTGCTGGTGAATTCCCGGCGTGACGGCGTCCGAGAGGGCGATGCTTCTGAGGACGGGGTTGGCGGGGTTGACGGGCGCAGGATTGACGGCGGTATGGCTGAGGTGCTTGGGGAGGTTTGGAGAAGAAACCCCGCGGCTCAGCTCGACGGGCCGATCTTTTTGTTGTTCCTGGTGGTGGTGCTGCTCCATGATGACTCGTGTTAATTCTCTGGCCGGGGATTTGCGGTAGAGTTTGGCTTAGCGGCGGTCGTAAGGACAGGGGAGAGGGGGGATGGACAGAGAGAGAGAGAGAGGGGGGGGAGTAATCAATGGGCAATCAGAAGAGGCTCCAGCAATGCAATGCGATGCGATGCACTGCAGGCAACTCGGATGTGAGGCCTTGATGAGTAAGGGGGAGGGAGACGGAGACGGAGACGGAGAGAGGGAGGGGAAGAGAGCTGAAAGACGAGTGTGCTGTTTTCAGGAGAGTCTTTCTGCTGTTGGTGGTGGTGGTGGCGGTGATATTGCTTTTGAGTTGAAGACGGAGGGAGGAAAGGAACCCCACGGACAGACGCCGCTTAGGAGATAAAAACACGGGGAACGAGAGAGGGATAGAGAGATGGAGATGAAGAGAACAGGGGCAACACGGTGATGCAGTCGGCGGTGGAAGGGGAAGAGAAAGAGACGAGCCCGGGGTAAAGAGGCAGAGAGAAGAAGACGGCTGATAGCAAACGAAGCCGTCGCAAAAGAGCAAGTCGAGGCCATGACATTTGACGGTGAGGTGAGTTCACAGTGACGGGGGGCCGGCCAGGGGGCCGGCCAGTCCAGGCCAGTCCAGTCCAATTCGAGTCCAAGTCCGGGATGCCGTGGCCGAGTCCAACACGGAGTAGACTACCATGTACATACATACATACATACATACACCGCACGCTCTACAGAGCACAGTACCACGACGCGGTCTCTCCAAAGACGAGGAGAAAGACGAGAGACGAGACGGGGTGACCAACACAGCATGGCCGAGTAGCCACGCCCCGGTGGGGAGTCGAGTTGAAGCCGTCCCAGTCGTCTTGGGATTCTGTAGCTCGTACGCACAACGCACATACAGTACATACATACGTATATACATACAAACGATGTAGCACTTTAGCTCCTGCCGTGCTGGTTGGCGTGTGGTGCGTGTGTTGTGGTACTAGTAATAGTACAGTAACATAGTTGTGATGCGATCCCCCACGCAGAGGGGGGTTGGGGGGCCCTGGTGTATCGTCCGAATGTGAAGGCGAATGTACCTCTTTGCCGACGCGCACGGCCAAGAGATACTTGCCAAAGTCAGGACGGTTTGCTCCTATCCTGCAGTCTTGGGCCCCGCGGGCCAGACTCCAGAGTCTCCAGAGTCTCCAGAGTCTCCAGAATTGCTGCAGCGCCGCAGCCCAGGAAGAGCGCCGTCAGGGATCGAGGGGGGCGGGCACTGAACTGACAGACCCAAGAACGGCCTGGCAGAAACCCACAGTCGCCGCACACGAGCTTGCTGATTGGGTTTCGCCGCCGGTTGCCAATGGTGGTTGTATTGCTTGGTCGTTGCTTGTACACCGTTGTCGCAGGGGGCTGTCTTTTCCCTCTTGTCTCCTCCGTCGGCTGCTGATGCGATGACAACAGGGGAAACGAGAGAAGAGAGCAGCAGCTGGACAGAGCGTTTGATACCGTAGGCCGTTGATTGGGCTCCCCACGCCGCCATCAGAGTCCGTGTCTCGGAGGAGGCGCAAGGGACCAGTCTCGATATGGTCTTGGGACAGAGTATCGGTAGTCCACGACAACCCCCCCCCCCCGAACACAGACGATTCGACTGACGGGGGGCCACATGTCACTCCCGCTGCCGCTGTCGTACCTGTCGTACCGTTTGCTTGGCCTAGGGCCAGAGACGCACTGATGCAAACCACCCCCAGTGCTATTTCGGTGCCGATGGTGGAGGGGCAGAGGGGGGGAACATGCTGGAACCTCTGAGCTCTGTCTCTGTCCGCTCCCCTCTCTCCTCCTCTTCTCTCTGCGTCTTCACGGCGGGGTTGGGTGACATGGGACTGCTGCGTATGGCCCAAGTCTCCGTCGAGCCCCGAGGAGGTATTCTCGGTGTATCCCACCACGACGTCCAGCCTATGGAGAGACTTATGACGCAGCCATTCCCACTTGGCTCGTTACATGTCCAAGACCTGTTCCAAGCTGAGGCTGCTCGGAACGATCCCCCCCTAGTTCGGACGGGATGGATTCTTCGACACGAGATTGGCCCAAGGTGAGGGGGGTGCCCCTGTTGATTGGCCCTGTCAGGCCCAAAAGATCCAATGGTCTGCCACCCAGGGCTGCTGGAGCTTGTCGACCTTCTCGACTGTTCCTCCTGGCCGGAGGTAGAACGCTGGGTGGTGCTGAGTGATGATGGGGTTTATCCTGGTTGATGCCGCTTCTCGTCCCTGTCCCTCTGTCTGCTCTCTGCTCTGTGCTCTGCCGTATGCTGTCGTCCGTGTCCCCTATGATGTCTTTGTGATGCAACTTGCGAGAACACAGCAAAGCAGCAAAAGCCCATCTCGAGAAAAGTGAGGGATTTGCGTGTGTTTTTCTTCTTCTTTTTTTTTTTTTTCGTTCTCTCTCTGCCTGTTCATCCTGTCTCGTCACAAACATCTCCGTCTCTATTCGATGCATGTAGGGAAAATGGGGAGAGGCTGGGGATCTGAATACGTAAAGCGGCCGACGAAAAGGCGAGATACCACTAATGACAAGAGACAACACCGAACAACGGCGAGGCAGCACGCAGAGGGGCTCGAGCAATGACCCCATCCCTCATTGACATGCCGCAACCACTCGCCGCCTATCGATGGCTGATGGGGGCTTTTGCACCAACAGCGTCCAGAACACCACTGGTGATCCGGCCTCACGGGTAAGCTGACGGCTAAGCAACCACCCGAGAGCCCAAACTAAGCATTTGCCATGGCGTCGTGGGCTGAACGGACACTATCCGTCTTCAGTCTCCGGCGCTGCGGTGCGGCCAAGTGACCGACTGAAGCCACCGTCTGATGGTGTCCGCCCTGCTGGGACTCATCTCGAATCCGCGCCGCCATCATCCCCGTCGAGAATCAGAAAGCCAAGGGCCAACACCGATGCAATGGTCGGTCGTACCTGTAAACTGCGGGAAAGGCCCGACCCACCTGACGTAATTCGAGGCAATTATCTGCCCCCTTTTCCTCCTTTCTCTCGATGGCACTTCCCGGTTGATGGTGTCCACTTCCCAACGACTTCCCCGGTTTTCCAGTGAGCTTTGAGGCTCTTGCTCAGACCTCGCAACGCTTGCGGGGATGGAGGCGTGTCGAACTCGTGGCCAACAGACCCTTGTGGCGTCTGCCTCTCTCTCTCTCTCTCTCTCTCTCTCTTTGTCTCTGGCGCGCGCGCGCGTTGTTCCGGCCTCGGGAAAGGGGGAGGGGAGGGCTTTCTTTGATAACCCGGCCGTTCGCGTTGCTGAAAAGACGGTGAGCGGACGTGATGCGGAACTAGGACGCCTTGAGCGACCAAGACGAACAATGAGTGGCTGGCGCTTGTCGCTGGGTGCTCACTCACCACCTTACTACCGCCGCCCGTTGCTGCTACTGCTGCAATGCGACTCGCCCTGCGCTGAGACTGGCCGATGCGTCGATCAAAAGAACGGAGGCTTCGATGAGTCGGTATATCTATCCATCATTGTCAGTCCACGTCGGACGTGAATAGCGAGCAATACCAGAGAACAAATCAAAGTGCACCTACTCTACGGCTACGGACAGAGGCTGCTGGCAAAATTTCAGGAGGAATGGACATCTAGATCTCGTTCTCCAAGCTGGAGGGGGATCAGAGCGTGGATGAGGGTTCCACCGCTCTTTTTAACAGCCACCCCGACCTCATCCAACCCAGCTCGACGTGACTTCGAACCGACAGACGGGGTGAGTGGTGGGCGGATGGCCGGCGAGGCATGCCCGTGCCTGATTCGATTCTCCGTTCCATCAGATGCACCAGCATGATATGAAGCACCACCACCACCACCACCACCACCACCACAGCAGCAGCAATCGCTTGGCCAACATTGGTCTCGACCACATCTGCATGCACTCTGCTCCGCGCTGTGGCTGCATCCTGCGACGCATCCTCGGTCTATTCCCTCTTCGCATGCATCGTCGCCGGTTGCTCATGCTGCGTTCGACTGGGAACGGGGGTTGCTGTTATGTCTCCGGCCAAGACTCCAACGCGCACCTTGTCATATCCATATCTCCAGCCAGCCAGACGCCGTGAGGTCTCACATTGTCCCATCAAGATCAGAGTTGGGATCGTCAGCGGCTCATGTGAATGTCCTCCGGCGTGTATCGACTTGCAAGTTTCCCATGGCACACAGACAGCAGTGTGAACGACAACGAGATGCCCCTCACCTGCCCCTCATCTGCCCCTCGCTTGGTGCTTCTCTCGCAGCATGTCCGGAAACTCACTCGCTCACCCAATGGTTCGATGACGGGCCATCCTCCGCGGCCCTTCAAGCTACGTGCGGCAGCACTTTCGCTCCCGCCTACGTGCGACAGGGACGGCTCGCAGACCAGACAGCATCCTACAAAGTCTAAGCTCGGCTCCCTGCTCTTCGTATCCACCAACCCCATGGGCACCGAGCATTGGTCTCGAGCCATTCTCGTCACCCCCATCGTGGCATATGCACCGGCCGCACCGCTTCAGGTCCCCCTCAGAATCCTCAGAATGGATTCCGACAGGCCCGCGTCCCTTTCCACTCTTAGCCCATCCCATCTCTTCATCCCACCATCTCTCCCGTCGGGCCTGGAATAGACCAACGCCATGGCCACACGGAGGGCCATCTTGTCAGATCTTTGCAGGTTTCCTTGTCGGAGCGAACCTGCACCTTCGACGTTGACGCTGGGCTGCCCGACGCGCTACACCACATCAGCCTGAACGGCTTGGCCATCCAACTGAGCCATTTTCTTTCATTGATGTGCTATCCCGCCATCGCGACCCTCCAACATGTCGCCGATTTTGCCCGAAATCCAATGCAGGCCCTCACTCACGTCTCGTCTCGATGCCCGATGCGACCGTTTCTCCAGATCAAGGCCGTCCCTCGTTCGCAGGTACTGTAGTGACTCCCCCGCCATCGGTCCAGGCACATGGCGCCAATCCCGCCTCGTCAGTGGCTGCATCCTTCCTCATGTTATCTTAATCTCGAATGCCATCCTTCAGGGAGCCACGTTCTCTGTTCCTTCGTCGCCCCATCGGCAGGGCGCTCGAGTTATGCCGAATGACATGCATCCCCGCCGTGTCTGGTTTTGCCATGCTGGAGATTCTTACCATGGATTGGCTCGTCGCCCACACTCAACCTGCCGTTTTGTCGGATCGCCGCGCCGAACACTGGTCGTACGGAGGCAAGTCGACCACGGATTGCGGACCCCCATCTGGATAGTGTCACGAAATAAAAGGCATTCATTGCTGGCCACAATTAACGGCAGCGTTTTCTGCAGCAGATAGTTGGTATTCCCAATGCCAGTATCGCCAGTCACCGATTCGGCTTGGCAGGAGCCTCGACGACTCAGGAAGCTTGCTATAGCATGGCGCATGTGTTTGTGCGCCCTGTCGAACTGGACCTGTGTGATCTAAAGCCCAATTTCGGTGAGACTCTCTACAAAAAGACTCTTATAACACCGCAATTTCTAGCCTTTGAAACAAACAGCTTGGCTTCACTTGAAGACATCAATCACATATGAAGGACACAACGACATCGGTGAAAAAAAGCCTTCGCTTTTCGGTACTGCTGGTCCAGTCCAATGTCGTTATCATCCCAACCATAAGCAAGCTTTCACGGACTACGCGCTCATGCCGTATCTGACAGTCCTGAAACAACTGTAGTGAACAGAAGAGTTGTGGTGAAGTTTAGCAAACTATTTCGATGCTTGACTTACTTGTATTACTATGTGGCGTGTTGGAGTGCCGGTCTGAGAGATTCAAGACTTCAACAGCACCCTCCCTCTATGTTATCGTTATAGACCCTGGTAAAGCTGCTTAGTGTCATTCAAGTTGAACGTCTAGGCCAACCCTAAGCGTACTTATGGATGCTCTACATACCTCACTTACCGTATATATCCAGCCAATGGTTTCTCTTAACGGACCTCCCGAAGCATCTCACACCTAATTGTGGCCTTGTACAAGGTCTTGAAAGTCGAGCTTCCATCCAATGCGGACAAACACTATGTCGCATGAGAACCCCATTCCGTCTTAGCCAAACAGCTAGTCAATGCACCGCTCAGTGGCATATGACAGAAACCTAGTTTAGAGGCTTGAGTGTCAGTGGCTGATATACCATGAAAACCTTACCTTCAACTCCAGAGCAACTATCCAGAATTTTGGACTCACTATGTTCAGGTCTTTGGGGGGTTTTCGCTTGTCAGTCGTTCATCATCAGGCTGGCCTGGGTAGACCACGATAGACCAAAAGGCGTCACTTAAGGGCGTCAGTGGACATGTATGTACATGTGGCTGCCTAGACTTCAGACAAATGTCCCTTGATCTTGCATTATCAGCCTAGCCGCCCGCGTCTTCATCTTCCTCGATTCAAAGAGCCCAGTTTTCGGTAGGAAAAGTATTTGAAATACCTTGCAATCAGCAGAACGACAAGGATCGTTGCCTCCACTGCAAAGTTTGCCTGTCTGTCCAAATCACATGCCCGTGGTGTTTCCTCCAGGCCACATAAGCCCAATTTTGTCCACTGACGTTCAGCACCAGCAAGCAACTTATAGTCTGCCACAGCGCGCGAACTTAAATCTAGCAGCTCTCAATCTCACACAACTTACCGTCTTCCATCAACGTCGCACCCCGATCAGTATCAACCAAAATGTCGTCACCAGCTATCACTCTCTACTTCAAGCCGGGCTCATGTTCCCTTGTGGCTCACGCTCTCCTCCACCACCTCTCGCTCCCTTTCAAACCCGTTCCCATGAAGCCTAATGCCGAACGCCGCTTCGAAGCTGCCGATGGCAGCTTTAGTCATCAAGATTACCTCAAAATCAACCCATCCGGCTTCGTCCCCGCGCTCGTCATAGATGGTGGCGAGGTTATCACCGAGCTTCCAGCCGTCCTCACGTACATCGCTTGCGTGGCGCCGCCAGCCGATACCGAAAAGCTTCTTGGCAACAGTGCTCTGAGTCGTGCCAAGATCGTCGAGTGGATGACATGGCTCAGTGGGACGTTCCAGGGCACGGGCGTGGCTGCGTGCGCCCGACCATACCGCTTTGCGGACGGGGAGGAGGCGAAGAAGGCCGTCGCAGAGAAGGGGTGGGATGTGGTCCTGTCATGCTACGCGAGGGTCGAGGATAGACTGAAAGGACGTGAGTTTGCTGTCGGCGAGGCGTTGACAGTCGTGGACTTGTATCTGTACGTGTTCCGAAGGTGGGCGATACATATGACTGGCCTCGGGGGAAGTGACTTTGGCAACAAGTTTCCCCAGTATGAGAAGCTGGGGAGGCTGGTAGAGTCTCTGGAAGGGGTCCAGAAGACTTTGCAATTGGAGGATTTAAAGCCTGTTTACGAATGAAATCGTCAGACTGAGGTATAGACACAAGGTCAGGCTACAACCCAGCCATTATCATGCACGGTTTTACACAGTCACCTAGATTCTTTCAAAAATCTTAAACATGCTGCGTCTGTTTTGTACGGGTGACTCCGTTGTTATGCGATAAACTGAATCAAGGTGTTTGCTATGACCTGGGCATACAACTATGATACAGCCGATATAGGCCCGTCTGAAAACCTCTTGAGATATCGGGGTGCATTTCCGAGACGTCTGGGGTTTTTAAATACCTACGATAAATGTGTTGTAAGCCACATCTAAATCGCCAGGGAAGTTGAAAGTTGCTCGAGGCGTAACGATCTATCTGCCAGCGTATGCCTTCCATATAACCGCTTGCGGCTATCTGAAAAGCCACGCCGGCTTCTCGATAAGCACGCCGAAGCGGCTGACGCTCTTGAAACTATTATAGTGGAAAGAGTCTGTTGATAGGTTATTCTCGATGCCTACTGTAATTGCATAGGATCATTCAATTTGCTAACATGGCGGATTCATTGAAGCGATACTTCTGGTTTTGCGCAACATTTTAATGCATACAGATCCTACAACGAGAGGCAGTATTTCTACAAAGACTGACCTAAGATCCGTTAAGTAAAAGTATAACCAGAGCTCCCAACCGACAACTGGTCTCGGTGTGGCACAGGGTATCATGAAGCCCCCAACTGACAGACTCCAGGACGCCGCGCTTCCGAGTAGCTAATACACAAAAGACAAAAAAAAAGGGAGAGTACGAAGGAAAAGAACGAGCAGTCCCATCAAGCCCATGAGTTTCATATGTAACGCATCAATCAAGTTGACTCTTCGTCGCCCTTGGTAACGTTGGTGACCTTGACCTGCTCCAAGTCATCCACCTGCCCCTCAAGGACCTCCATGGACCTTTTTTCTCGGTTGTGCAGCACCATAATGCCAAGCACCAGGGCGCACTGTAAGATGTTGTTGACCATGACCCAGTACCAGCCGAATTTGAATCTGGGGGCTTTGGAACTGTCAGTCAAGTATATACGACAAGTCGGGTTAGGAGTGTCTTCTTACCTTGAGGTGTAGGGAACGTGACAATATTCAGGCCTGCCAGGAGCGCTTGACCAACTGCATTCATCGACGACACGACGACAGCACGTTCTTCGGCAGATTTGAACGTCACCTCAGACGCCCAAGACATGAAGAGTGGGTTCAGGGCACCGCCAAGTCCGGCAACATAAAAGGCGAAGAACTTGAGGCCCTCGGGAATATTCCAGGCGGCCATGCATATCGAGCCAATGGTCATGAAGCCGCAGATCCAGATGGAGGGCAGCCAGCGCTTGCCAGTGGCATCAGCCCAGTAGCAACCCACAAGCGCAGCGACGATGGAGAGGGCAGACTGGCCGGTGGGCAGGTTGTTGATCTGACTGATGGAGTAGCGGTCGCTGTGGGCCTTGAGGTACAGGTTGAAGGGCTGGCCGTTGGTGATCATTGCCTGGTTGAAAACAAAGTACAGAGCAACGAAGGCGTACCAATGCCAACCTTTGAAGACGTCGGTGATTGCTCTGCGATCGAACTTGACCTTCGGAGCCTCGGAGCCTCCCTCGGACACACGACGACGAGCCAGAGCAATTTGGTCTGCTGTCAATAGCCATGATGGGTTCTTCGAGTCTGGGCGAGCTGGAAAGACGGCGGCGCCAAGGAAAGCTACGGGCAAGGTGATACACCCGCAGACAATAAAGAGCCAACGCCATCCAGCCAGGCCGTTGACGCCGTTGAGGTTGGTGTAGCAAGCTGTTTGGAAGTAACCGGCAAACATCTGAAACGCTGTTAGTTTTGCCATTCTGTCGGCCACAAGTCAGGTACGAAAGGAGTTGAACGCACCGTTCCCAAGGGGCCAGCAATGTAGAACAAACTCAGACGGCGGGAGATCTCCGTCCTCTTGTACCAACATCCGATGCAGTAGATGACGCCTGGGTATGCGACACACTCGAAAATACCGCTGAAAAAACGGATGATGTAGATATGCTTGACGTCCTTGGCGTATGCGGTCAGGAGCGTCAGGATGCCCCAAAGAATCTCGAAGATTGGAATCAAAACGTTGGGCCTGTGAACTCAGTTGTTAGCCTTTGCGACTCCTACTTGGCTTGATTTCGGCAATGAACACTGACCGAACACGGGTTAGGATGATGTTGGAAGGGATCATGGCGGCACAGTATCCAGCTTGGAACACTCCAGTAGTGTACTGAAGGTCGTTGCCTTCCATGCCGATATCTTCCTTCATCCCACTGACATATGCATTCTGAAAGGCTTGAAGATCGAGGAACTAAAACACAGCTTTTGTTAGACAAGCCATTGCCTGAAAGCAAAAGTACCATTGCTTGCCTTGGTGAAGAAAGTCAGACAGCCAAAAGTCAGAATCATGAAGTCCTGATGCTGTTAGTTACTGGTTGCCATGAGACTTTGCTAACAAAGGCCTTACAAGCTTCCGTAACAGTCTCTTCTCTTCTCTCGAAGTGTTGCGCTCATACCAACGCCAGTTGTCGAACCAACTCGCTTTCGTAGGTGGCTCGTCCCCGACACTGGTAGCCACGTTTGAGCCCATGTTGTCGAAATCGGACCTTAAACAACACACGAAGCACTAGAACTAATCAACCACAGTGCTGTCAGTTGATTGATACCAAGCCCCGTCGAGGTGGAGCTGAGAAGAGGGTTGAAGGAGGCAAGAGTTTGGTGGAGGGCGGAGCAGATGGATAGGGGACTGCTGCGGTCACCAGAATTGGACGGACGAGGAGAGTAGTGGCGTGATCGAGTATTATACTCAGTGCACTCTCTCCTCATGCTCGTCATAAGACTATCTGAGCAGCTTCCAGGCGGATTAGGCTGGTTGACATCGAGAGAGAGACGTATGCCTTCATGCCCAGCCCGGGTGCGATCTTACAGTTCGCCAGAGATAGGCACTACCGGACGACCTGGGTGACTCGCGAGAGTTGCCCAGTGGCCACGCTCCACCACAGTCCACACAGGGGGGGTAATGCTGTAGACTCGTCTGATTGCTATATCAAGTTGGGAGATAAGGAGGGGTAAAAGCATTGAGAGTGCAAGGATCAGACGAAGCTAAATGGTGGAGCTCCAAGTGCCAACACCGCGCCGCCGTATCTCTGAACCTCGCCGCCCTGATAATGCCGTTCGCCTCCACCTCTCCTGCGATCCACAGCATTTGCGGGGTGCGGCACACGACAGACGGGGATCTCGCCGCGTTCCCTGCTGCCTCGGATGTTATGACACCGGGGGTGTTGCCAATGCGACGGTGATTGTTTGCATCCCCTCTGTTTGGTTCCTTGACCAGCTATCCGTGTGGAGCACCGTCTTCTACAGTCAAAACCGCTACACTCGTCCACGTCCGAAGTCTAAAACGCGTCAGCACCACCTTGAGATACGGCTGCTGGATGGAAGATTTCGAGGTCGTGTTCATGGCCAAGAATGCACTTCGGAATGCGGAGCGTCAGATAAAATGGACGTCATATTGGATTACTATGATCGTGTCCGTGGGTGGACTTGGTGCAGGGGCTTGACTGCTTCAATCTAGTTCTGATGACCATGCTCATATATATGTCACGTCGAAAAGGCCTATCGGTGCTACCCATGTGTGCCTCCGTGATACACAGGACTCCGCGAATGAATCACAATGTCATCTGAGCCAGACTCGTCTCTCCCAAAGTTTGTACAGTGCGCTACGACCAGCGAGATATTGGACTTCATCGATCTCGAGAACTTGGATTTTTCCCAATTCGACAAGAACGAAACCCGACTCCAACTAGCTGCAAAGCTCTTGCATGGCGCGAACAGTCATGGCTTCTTTGTGATCACCAACCATGGCATCCCCCAGGACCTATATACATCACAAGTCGACCTCGCTCATGCCCTCTTGACGATCCCGCCGGAAGAAAAAGTGCTTTACGAAACAGCAGCGGAAGATGAAGCAAGGGGCTATTACGTTGGCTTCAAACCCTCGGGAAATCAAAAGCACAAGGAGGGGTTTCACAAGACTCTAGATCACTATAATATTCAAGCAAACAACCCTAACAGCCAAAAACACCCAGGCATCCTTTACCAACACATGGCCCAGACAAATGAACTCATCGGCCATTTCCGGCATCAGTTGATACCGAAGCTCTTGACTCTCGTATCCATGATACTTGAAGTACCAGAAGAAATTTGGTTATCCACTCACGGATCAAGCACGGAGGCCTGCTCAGAGTACCTGCGGTACCTCCTGTACAACCCACCACCCGCCGACTTGCAACTCAGAGACCTTTGGCTAGGAGGTCACAGAGATTGGGGTTCATTCACGTTCCAATTTTCCCAGCCTGTTTCGGCGCTACAGATACTTTTGAGGTCTGGAGAGTGGAAATGGGTTAAATATCTGCCTGGTGCCCTTGTAGTCAACGTCGGTGAGGCACTTGAGCTTCTGACCGGCGGGCTCTTCCGAGCACCGGTGCATAGAGTTGTCAAACCCCCACAAGACCAGGAAAGAGAAAAGAGGATAGGCATAATTTACTTTGCTAGGCCGGTCAATGACCAAAATCTAGAACCTCTCAATAGTCCGCTGCTTGGGAGACTTGGTTTTGGGAGGCCGGTGGATCAAACGGTGTTTACAATGTCACAATACCTGCATGCAAGGAAGCATGGGTATAAAAGACTGGATTTCGACCACGTTAGGGTCAAAAACAACGCAACCAGCCACCCAGATGATGCCAACTTGTTACACGTGACCCATATAGACTCTCAGCTTGTATAGGGAATGGAAGCCAGAATCTGGAGTTTTGGTGCTGAAATCAAGTGGTTGAGTAACTTTCAAGTTTATAAACCTTCATCGGGAACGACCTAGTCACGGTCTTTGGATTGACGAATGTTGAATAGCCACCGTCCTCCACCGTTCCCTAATTCTTCGCCCTCGCCGAAATTCGCATCAGAACCAACCTCCTGGTCCATAACGACAGTTCACATGAAACTCACGACTTCGTCAGCGCGGGATGGGTTATTAGCAAAACTATCCGTTATCACCGAGCGGAGTCGGGTCGCCGGGGAATAGACCACTGTTTGGTGCAGATCTTTAACTCGTGGCATCGACACCAGATGGTTGGGGCAAAATATCAAGATGCCCTTTGCAAGACCACAATAAGACAGATTCCGCCCGAATGACTACCAAGTGAATCGGAAACACATCTGGGGTATTTCAAATGACGCTTTATTGTATATTTGGATCTTTTAGTGGAATGAACGCAAGTTAGTCAATGTAGAGAGAGAGTCGACACTCATTTCTTTGCATCTCGCTCCTTGCAAACGTCCGAATAAAAGTCTAACCCAGCCTCAAGGCGCACCGCCCCATACATAGAGCTGCTATCTAATGGCCGCTCGGGTTCGAATTCTCTCGCCTTCTCCATATGTCTCAAAGCAGCTTCACTAGTCTCCAGTCTTGTTCCCGCATCCTTAGCACATGTCAATGCATGCCTCAAGTCCTTCATAGCCAACGCAACATCAAAGCCGGCCTTGCCATCAGGCGAGGGGGCATATGAGCCGCTCGTTATGCGCTTGCTGTAGCTTTCCAGCACTGGGCCAAACATGTCTGAGATCATGTTCTCTAAGACTGGTGATCCGAGTCCAGTCTTCTCGGCGAATACATGGGCTTCCGAAAGCACCTCCATGAAGGAGACCACGACAATATTACCGGCAATTTTGAGCAGGCTCGATTTAGTGACGTCTGTTCCCATTGGAATGACAGAGCGGCCCATGACGCCGTTGAGATATAAGGAAATCGTTGATGTAGCGGACTCGGGGCCGGCTGTAACGAAGATCAACTTGCCAGCCGCGGCCATCGCTGCGGCGCCGAACACGGGAGCTGTTTCATGAATTAGTTTCACTAATTCGGCAGCAACCATTTCTGAATTTTTACCTACCGGCAACAAACTGGCCACCAGCCTCAGTGATTTGCTTCGATACCGCAGCCGAAGTATCGGGGTGAACGGTGGAACAATCGACGTATATCTTGTTTGTAATGTCTCCAGAATTGATAATCTCGTTTGTCGTGTCTTGAAGTACGGCATCGTTGCTCACCTCCATTGATTTGTTAGATGTAAGTTGGCCGTGAAGATTATCTGTCGTTGACTTACACATGAGAAAATCACATCACACTTCCTTGCAACTTCACTGACCGTCTCAACGGGAATTGCGCCCAGTTCCTTCAATGGCTCACCGCGTGAGAGCGTTCTGTTCGTGTAGACCAAGTTTGGTGCTCCGGAAGAAGAGAGGAACTTTTGAAGATTCTGAGACATGCCAATGCCCATGGACCCCAGTCCAATCCAGCCGACTTGTTTTGATGCCATATTTTACGTCAGGATAAGGATTCTTACTAATTGGGAAAATATGGTATTCGAACGATTCGTGGGATTCAGCTTAAAGCTGGAGTGATTCGCGCGATGCGTTCAGGTCTGCGAGATGTCATCGACTGATAATCATTTGACAAGCTGCCGATAACGGCCCCCGAGCCCCGAAATGCCGGATGCCGCCTCCGAAGGACCAGGTTATTTAGGGTCCCAGTCCCTGTAGATCTCGCAGGCGGATTTATGGGCGTGCCCGGCTACCCCATAGTGTGCTCCACATAGAGAAAGGGTCACCTTTTGAGCTCCACGTCCAAGATGGTGCAAAAAGTAGAGATATCGTGGAGTTGGAAATGGTGTAATCTTTGTTTGACGTGATAAGCAATGGATATCGAGTCGGTGAATTGGCCGTGCTGCAAATGCTGAACACTATTAAACCAGTACTGAAGTAGCTTGTGAAGTATTCCGTCACTCCTGTCACCTCCTTACATAACAAATCCTCACATTTCCGCACATTGAAGCGCATCTTTATCTACCGCCAAAATGAGTTTCGGAAAACTTTACTACTACCCGAAGGCGCCTCGCGCCACACAATGTCTTTACATCGCAGAGTACAACAAGTCAGTTTGCCCATTCCAAGTCATGATTCTGAGGCGAGTGCTAACGAGGTGGACGCCAGGCTCGATGTCGATTTTGTCGAGGCGTGGCCCATTAAGGTTGATGCCAGCAAGGGTGGCGTTGGAGCAGACTACCTCTCAAAATTCCCCCCTGGAAAGGTTCCAGCGCTCGAGCGTCCTAACGGTTTCACGCTATACGAATGCATCCCAGTTTCCATTTACCGTAAGTTCACAGACCTCAACCAAGACATTCAACTTGCGCTGACGGCGCCCCAGTCGCAAAGCAGGACCCAAATACCAAGCTCCTCGGCACAACTCTCGAGGAAGAGGCAACCATATTGAAGTGGGCATCATTCGCCAACAGCGAGCTTCTGCCCCCATCATGGCATGGATCAATCCCGTTATCGGAAAGGGGCCTTCATCACCCGAAATCCTCGCTGCGGCAGAGAAGAGCAGCGAAGGTATGGTCAGCGTGGTGGAGAAGGCTTTGACGGGCAAGAAGTTTCTAGTTGGAGACGAGCTCACGATAGCCGATTTGTTCGTGATTGCTGCCATTGCTCGAGGATACCAATTTGTGAGTGATAAACATTACGTAACTTTCTGGGAATCATCTCCTGGGGCTCCTTTCACACCCGATGTCGGTCACTCCAATTCGTTTACTGATCCAGCAATGCTTTATAGGTGTTTGCCAAGGAGTGGACTGAGAAGCACCCGGCCATTCATGACTGGTACTGGCGAATCAAGAGCGACGAAATTTGGAAAAAGATTGACGGCGAACCCTATGTGTTGGACGTGGTGGGAGGAAAGCCAATCTGAAAACGAGCAGTTACCAATCTGTTGCCAAACGGCCAGCTGGGCACTAAGAAAGAATACCAATGCTTGACAACATCTGAAGAGTCAAGATCCCGGCATTGAGTGTGATTTCTGAGAGGCTGGGACCCTGTATAGATGAGAGTGACAGGAGATAAGGAGACCAGGTACGAGGTGCGGGGAGTTCTCCGCTGCCGGCACGTAATGGGGCCGTTATCATATCCGAATTCGCCAATCGAAAGACTCTGATTGGTTAGGTCTCTCGGCACGAACCGACCTAGCTTAGATAGCGTCATTGTCCTCGGAGAGACTAGTCACGTGGGTGGACAAGCTAGGCTGAATTCAGCATATCATATCTTATCTCTTATCCATAGTCTAGATACGTGACTTCGGCAGGTCTACGCCCACCACGAAGCCCCCCCGGTTTGGCTCTCTTCTCTCCAATCTTCAGCAGCACCCTTGGGCATGCCCCATGTCCTACAAACTTCAACACTCATCTGCCAAATATCGCTGCATTTTTCATGATGGATGAAAGTCTACCTCGTCCCTTCAAGTGCGCGACTTGTAAGAAAGGGTTTACTCGTCAGGTAGGCAAACATTCGAGCCCGACGTTGGCCGCACTAACACGACACTCGCTTTATGCAGGAGAACCTCAAGCGCCATGTAAACACACGTGAGCTAGAGGATAATATATTGATCGTAATCCAGTTACTGAACTGTGGCAGATCACAGAGGCAGGAATGCTCCCTGCTTCCCGTGTAATCAATGCAATGCCCGCTTCGCCCGAAGGTCAGTCAAAGACAGCACTGGAGCCTCCATGACTTGACGCTCGTCATCACAAGTTTTTTTCCCCACGATTCTTCAACATCACAGATACTGACTATAGGGACAGCGACTTGCGGAAGCGACATGTTGAAAACTGCCATGTCTCGTTGGGGTCGCCGCCCAAATCAGCTCCTCCTCCTCCTTCGCAACCTTCTGTGACTCCAAACGTGGGCGATTCGCCAGGCGTCGCAGCTTGGATGGACGTTTTATTGACACATCCCCCACCACCACCACCTCCACCACAAAATGGAATCATAGATCCAATACCGCAGCTTAATCAGAGTTATAACGAACCATCGTCGGCGTGAGTTGATTCATAAATCCGAGAACCACAATCCGAGAATCATGAACACTGACTTAAAGAACCCTAGATTATCGAGCGAGATCCGTTGCGTCGAAGCATTTTTCGACGGGTTCCACCGTAATTTTCCGATATTACATGAGGGGTCTTTCCACATTGTATCGACACAAGTGCCCCTTCTAAACGTGATCACCGCCCTGGGAAGCCTCTATTGCGAATCAACATTCGACGAATCGGCCAGAAAAGCTGTCTTTGAGACAACGTTATCGTCACTGCAACAATATGTTAGTCTCCTCTTGATGAAGATCCAAATTCCATCCACGGCTAACTAGTCGATGTAGGTAGAGCAAAACCGTTCACGGTATCAAGAAATCTGGGTCCTGCAAACATTCATCCTTCTCGAGTTTCTTGGCATCTACGGCGGCAACGACACGAGTTTTCTCAAAGCACAGAGAATTCATCGAGACCTGATCGATGCAATAAGACTGCTACAAATGTCGCAAGACAGCTCGCTAGACTCTTTCTCTGCCAAGTCAGCAGGCGAAGACAGTGGTTACGGCGAGGAAGGTGACGAAGACGACATGCAAGAACCTGTCAGTGAAGATGCCTTGAATGACCAATGGCAGGAATTCATCAAGAAGGAGTCAAGAAAACGATGCGTCTATATGCTATATCTCCTCGACTCTCAGCTCGCCATTCTCTGCAACCTTCGCCCGATGCTTTCATCTCTGGAGATCAAGTATGATCTTCCATGCTGTGAGGACATTTGGCTTGCTCGCTCCGACAGGGATTGGTACGAGCGGCGGCGACAGCGATTCAAGTCTTTTGACGAGCCTGAGGACAACGCCTATGCCCACGAGACACCTCCCTCTCAGGGATTCTTCTACGAAGCTTCACAGACGCTATTACATTCTGGCCGAGGCAGTGACAAAGAGACCAGTAGTGGGAAGCGCCAGCCTAGGAAACTCAGGTTACTTTGGGCTTCTCCGTTTGCTGCTGTCATTCTCGTCACGCAGTTGCAGATGATGGCACGCGAGCTTACTCACGCTAGTTGTCTCCTCGAGAGACCTAAAGCCCAACGGCGAGCTCTGTCCATCCTGACGGATAAGCAGCACGCGCAAATATCACAGGCCTTGAAAGGAATAGCTGAGTTGGTGCCACGAAACCAGAAGCCAGTATTCAGCTTCTTTGACTTTGGCCGTATGGATACCCTGGTACCCGATGGCTCGGATCAGACTCCGCTGTGGCACACGTTCTGGATATTGTGGTACTACACGTCTATAACCTTGTCGCACCCAGACTCTCTGCTGGTCAGTGGAGTTGTTGAGTCAAACCTGCCACTAGCAATAGCAAGTGAGTACCATCCACGCCATGACTATTTAGAGACCAAGAAAGTTGACATTTGCCAGCGGCGGGTCACCTTGCTACACCACGGTGCAAGGAGAAGAGGGACATTTATGAAGACCGGGACGTTTTCCGAATAGTATGAGCCTCCCGCCCGCCGTCAAACGCGCTTGAAGCGTCGTAAGACGTATGCTAACACTATTTCCAGCTCAACGATCTTGAAATGGCCCTTGACCTACTAAACCCCATCAAGTCCACCGCGCCACCAGCTCTTGAGAACCCCTTCATAACTCTTCTTGGCTTCAAGATCTGTCTTGTTGGCTGGCGGCTCGTTCGTTTGACGATGCCTGCTGCTCAACAAAACAGTGCCACTACTCTACATGGACCAGGAGGCATGGGAGTGGGTATGTTTAGCAGCAGCAATGGCCGCTCGAACCCAAGCCGCTTCGTCTTGGATGCCATCATGGCGTGCGTAGTCAACGTTGAAGATGATGATGTAGAAAATGCGGCCGCTGCACTGGCTATGCTGGACGATAGACCTGTTGACCTTGCGCGAAGTGAGGTACGGTTTTTGGAATGGATCGTTGCCAATTTTAACAAGCGGACTACTTGGCCTGTCGGGAAATGGGTGGCGGCGGTTATGGAAGAGAGCTTGTCAAAGGCAAGAGAAGCGTACGCTGCACCCATCAATGACTGATCGAAAGGTTGATCAATTGTATTTTTGCTATACCAAAGACACGCGGTATATCTGGAAGTGGAATGGGTTGCATCAATAATACCTTAGGAGACGACCGGATGTTGTGTTTTCTTCGTGGTTACGAAGCACCACTTTACAGATGGCACAGTTGTTTCACCTTGCACTCAAAACAACTAATTTGACGACGTACACAACGATTCTCTCTAGGCCCTGTACAGATAGAAATTGGCTACATACTGAGTATTTGAGATCCTTGTGTTTTGACTCGTAGGTTCCTCGGCCTCTGAGTCAAATAAAAGAGTGTTTCATTTGTTCGTTGTACGTAGAAAGGCAGTCCTACTCATTGGGTAGGCTAAAGGGGATCAACATAGCAAAACAAACGTTTAATATGACCATCTTTAAAATTCTTGTTTTTATTTAAGTCTTATTTTTGTCCTAACGGAGGCTTCTCATTGGGAAGGTCCCTGTGCATGCGAAATAAACAGGCCTCAATTGACTTGTGCGCTTTCCTAAGTATTAAAAAGCATGGACCAACTGAGTCAACGCACAACAGCTACGGTTTCACTACTAACTATCATGCGGTCCCAGTCTTTACAGTTGGGAGACTGTACTGAAGACGAGGCATGTTGTCAAACTTGCCAAGACTCTTGTGACCTTCTGGGTCAGTATATTCGCCATCAAAGGGGTCCTGGTGCTTGCCCTCCTCACGGGGCCGGTCAATGTCAAAGTCGTAGCGCTTCCATCCGTGCTTTCTCGCATCCAAATAGTCGGCCATACAGAAGATGCGCTCGTCGATGGGCTTATCAGTGCCCATGCGCTGGAGGAGAGGGGAGTTCTCGATGGGGACGAGCTCACGCTCGTCAGCAGGGCGGGAGAAATAGATAACGCCGATGCGACGGAGGTGACGCTGATCTTCAGGAGGCTCTGTTTTGCTCATTTTAGTCTCAGGTCCTATAAGCGCGCTCTCGTGTTTTGACTTACGGATCACTCTATGAATGGTAGCCTTGAAAAGACCACCGGTAAGACGCTCGAGCGCCTCACCAAAGTTGACAACGATGCCGTGAGGCTGGTGTTTAACATGTCTGTATCGGCCGGTTTGGTGGCATAGAACCTGAAGAGCTGCGATAGGCTGAGAAAAAAGGAAGGTCCAAGTACCCCTAGGATTGAGAGTCAGCTTAAGCACAGGGACGGCAATCGAGTTTGAGACAAACTCACCAGTCAGTGTGGCCGGCGAGGAAAATATCACGGTATTTCTCGCTTTCCTCTTTCGACCGGGGCTCACACACCATCTGTAAGGTGAGTCAGTATTCAGTAGATGATTTCATTGGAGAGTATAGTCCTGACATATCTGAGGTACTCCGTCTTGGATCCGCCAGGGGCGTGTGTAGAGAGAACAGACTCATCCGGCACCTCCAGGATCATGGCGACAAGCTTAAGCAGCTTAACGAGGATGTTAGTGCGGATGTAGCTCATGACCCCATACGTCTCCTCCATGAACGGGCGAATGATTTCGGGGTGGGGGCGGTTCTTGGGGTCATGAACCAGCATGTTGTAGTGATCCAGGGCCTTAGGAAAGCCACCCTTATGTCCGAGCGGTCCTGCCGGTTTGTAGCCAGCGTAAAGACCACGGGCATCTTCTTCGGGGGTGACTATTGTTCTGATCAGCAGGGATGCCCGATTGTCAGGACTAGTCTACTGACCTTCATAGGGAGCCTTTTCGTCGGGTTTTAGCGTCATCGCGGCATTGGCGATGCGCATCTGGCGCTCATACGTCTCGTCAGAGATACCATGGTTAGTCAACGTGAGGAATCCGTATCCTATCAGGGTTTTATTCAGCATGCGGTGCGTAAAACGCATTCGATCCTATTGTAAACTGACCAGTGGCAGCTTCGTAGAGGTCCTTGGCGAGCTGTTTCCGTCCTTCAGGGTCGTCGAACCTTGAGAGGTCAATGTTGACAAGATCAACGTAGTCCACTGGGATTAATCTATCAGTTCAAAATGTTTTTGCTTCGAACGAGGTGGCTGGGGTCACTAACAGTCCTCCTTGGTTGGTGGAGGCGGCGTGTAAGGCGGAAGCTGATTGATGTCGGCAACCATTTTGGGCAACTTTTGGTTCAATAAAGTGACGAACAAGTGACAGCTCAAGAGGATTGAGCAAAATTCGAGGCCTTTGTTACTTGGACTTTAGGCTTATGAGTGGCAAATGTCTTGGTTGTTGAGTGATGGTCTACCTTGACTCAGTCGATAAAATCCGAGTTTTATATGATTGAGAACTGGTCTCTTCGAAGTCTGTCGACACTGATGAGCTGAGAAAAGGATGCGTGCAAGGGATGCTGTCCGAGCATTTGGGGAAAGATGGCACGATGCTCCGCGGAACGTCCACAAACAGCAGTCCTCATGTCCCCATTGCTCAAGGGACGTGGAGATTGTGGCGACTACCTTACTGGCAGATGTAATGCACCCCAACCGTCAGCAACGGGAAAGAGGAGCTGTTCTGAAGACTGGAGATTATTAGCAGTAGCTCCACGTTACGTCTCTGTTGTGAGAAGTGGAGGAGGTGTGGACGTGGAGCTCCCTTTTCTGAGGGTGTGGGGAAGAGGAGCTCCACGCAGGGATCAAGCTGCACTGAGAGGACGGCGCTTCACGCGACTCGGGTTTCCAAGCTGCAAGTAGTAATTGGTAAGTCAACTATCACTGCTCGTGTTACAGTTTTGATGAGATTGCATAAAGAAATGGTATTGAATCCGCGTTGAGTTCAAGTCAAGTTTTGGGGCAGTACATTCAACGAGCAACAACTTGGAAGGGCTTAGCGGTCTCAGTTTCGACATGTTCATATTCATCAATACAAAGACATATTACCAGAGGCTCCATCGTTTCAAATCTTGGTTATTATGCGGACATACATAGTTATCTACAGAAATCAAGTCTCTATTACATCAAGTTACAGTACTCTCGGTATATGCCGATATCGCTAAACGACTCACACGATGGCGCCATCTACAAGTAAGACGATATGCTAGAGAATTGTGTTAATTCCTGTTAGCGGACTGTTTGCTGACAACCTAATAAAAAAAGTTTCGAACTAATTCCGCCGAGGAACATGACGTACCAAGTCCAGGGACCTACAGATTCCAGGCTGTTTTGTGTCATTGTACCATTTCCACAGAATTGTGTGGACGCAGTCACTGTATCAACTAAGGTAGAACTGCAGTTGATGTTACAACATATCCGGGTACTCGGTGGTGATAATCCGATTGCACTGAGCTTTCATTTAGCTCCTTTTCTTTTGCGGCGATGGGGTCCCTATCACAGTCAAGTTTTTACCTGCAGCGGTCGAATGCGTCAAGGGGCATGGTAGTTTTGTGCGGTTTGGTTTCACCAGACCGATGGATACCTCTGCCCCATTTCAAGCACTCATCTTGCTGACTGAATTACCATCGTGGCGACGATGATTGATCTAGGCTTCGGATGGACCCGAGGAGAAAAAGGATCTTCTTCTCAAATCATGGTTTGACCTAACTTTTAGATTCATATAATTCATTATTCATTACTTATAAATGGATGTAATCTATCTACCCTATTATAACTCTGTCATTTTTTATATTCTTTGCGACCTCGAATGGCTTAGGCTTCTGCCCCAACTGTGTGAGACTCCTATACAGCCCGTTTACATGATTTGGGTGACCGCTAGTTGTATCAAGTCTATTGCTCCAGTCCCCCGGTGCAGGTGGTATTCCTCCTTTCACAGCGCACACAGCGGCAAAGTCCAGTGTCGGGTAGCCACACCTATCAGGTCGCTTCCCGCATACCCTTGACGTAGCAACGATCATAGCAGCCGTCAAAAGAAGAATCAATCCGCTTACAAGCACGAAAAGCCACCTGCTAATTTTCCCGGCAACGACCTGATGGCTGAGAATGGATATAGACATAGTGGTATACATATCATCCATCAACCCAGCACGGGGTCCCGAGAGCTCCCAGACCGAGGGCCCTGTGGAGAAATAGTTCGCATGGAAATAGCTGAATGGCACTGACATGGCCTTTCGTATAGCTTTGAGCGACTGCTTCTTTGCCACCTCGCTGTCATTGATCGGCAGTGCTGTAACAGCATAAATGGCAAGCGCTGAGTTGTCGCCTTTTTTCGCTGCAGCACTTGTGTTGAAGCCAGGAATCACTGAGGACAGTGAGAGCAAATAATCGTCAAGTCTGATAACCTCCTGCTTTGGTGGGGTCATATCGGTTACGGAGAGGATGGAAAAGTTTCCGCGATCGTAGGTGATGGTTGCTTGACGTGAGTACACAAACAGCGATGAAGAAAGCTCGAGGGGGTCGGTCCACTCCGTATTATTAAGACAGGAGCTTGTGGCTTGCAGCGAGATTGGGCAGTAAGCAGAACCTGGAAGAAGTACGGAAGTTAGCATTGGAGTATGAGACCGGTAATAACTAACATAACTAAGATGTAATCATGTTTATATGTCCTTACCGAAAAAAAACCCATTTCCGTCACCAACAGCAGTACACCAGTAAGAGGCAGCATTGGCAGCGCCGAGGAGGAAGCAGTTGCCCGTCGCACGAAGGCCATTGAGGTCACGCACTTTGCCGTACTCGAGCTGAACTACCCGCGTCATGGGAACGACGTATGTGGTAGAGTCCGGGTATTGTTTCAAATCGTCTATCTGTGGAGCGATGGAGACAATACCGCCAGTGAGTAGATGCGACTCATCACAAGCGGCCCATTTGCCGCTTACGTCGACACATTTTCCTGCAGCATCATCCAAAGGATCCAAAGAGAAGGAGTCTCTATCCGACCAGGCAGGGCTCCCCATCTGTACCAGCAGGGCTGTTGCCGTTGACTGCTGGATTTCGTAGACATATGAAGCGTTGAAGGGGGCAATCCCCGCAGATACGTTATATGTCTTTTCGGGGAAAGTGACCATGTCGATAGAGATGGCGCCTAAGTATCATGTAAGTACACGTAAAGATATTAGCCTAGACAAGAAACCAGCTTACCCATAAGTATAACGCCAGGCAGAGGAATTGAGCAGATGACCAGAAGACTGCAAGAAGTTAGAATGCCATTGTGTCGTCAATTCGGCTCGGCGAACTAACGGAAGCAGGCTTACCGGAATAAACTTGAGTACTTATACTTCCACTCAGCCGTCGCCAAGAGGCGCAAAAGTCCCCATACGCCTGTTCCAGAGTCCAGCCCGACAAAGTGCAAGAGACTGACACCGCCAGGACGAGATGCCAGTGCCCATTGCAAGTCTTCTACTACAACCACAACTAGAGCCGCCAAGGTAATGGCACAAAGCTCCGTCAATACGCGTAAGATAAAGATGGAGTTTTTTGATGACATGACAAAGAAGTTTAGCCTCATCAAGGCCTTGGCTGAACCAGTCGAATACACCGTGGTCAACGTCATCATCAGCACCCCAGTAACCATAAACCGAATGTCCACCACACAAATCGGCTGACTTTCTTGCTTCCATCTCCTTGTGATCTTGGGGTGAGCGAGATGGTGTCGTTACTATCGTCCCTTCCCCGGCTGAACGTGGAATCTTGACCGTCGGGCGTCGCAGGGTATAAGAAGTTCTTGCTAGATTTTAAAGGAACACCGGTCTTCAAAGGCGATTCACATGGAGATGGTGTTCCGTCGGTTTGAGGATATCTTGGCCAATCACTGGGACTCTCGCTATTGAACTCGATAACATGCCAGCCGTCGTCGCTTTTCGTTTCTTTTGGACGGGGCCATGGTCTCTGGGAGTCGCTTCTTGAAGCTCTGATATGCTCGCTCAAATCGTTGAGATCGATCGTTTCGTGTCGTGGCTCTGTAGCCGCAATCGCCATCATCATCGGAAATTCGCGTCAAAGTTGCCGCCAATTAGTCGAGCCGATCGAGTAATGCGTTTGGAAGTCCGTGTGAGCAAATGCAATTCGTCTCCGCTGTCTAAAGAAAGAACAACATACGAAACGCACACGACTGTTCAGTATGTGCTGGAGACATGGGGACCAAGCCGGCAGTTTGCTGTATTGCAAGAAACGGCACCAACAATTATTATTACTTGAGAAAGGTCCTCATTTTGCTCAATAGCTTCTAATCACGGATCCCCAGTGCATCGAGTCAGTCGTCCAGCAGCGAGGGTAGCCGCGAGTCGTGAGCCCTTGGCAGTCTCATTGCTCATATTTGCAGAGAATGAAGGACAGGTAATTGCCCCGAAAAAAATACGTTAATCTATTTGATACTCAAATACAGCCAAAGCAGGCGATGAAACATGGAGCATCCTTCCACGGTCCAGAGCGAAATTATCTTGACAAGGGGGCAAAGACCATACGGCAGTGTTGCTTCCCCCACAAACGAGGATCCGCACGCTGTTGGGATTGCTGGTGAACTACAGAGTATCAGAGTGACAAAGCGTGTAGCAAATCCGCGACATTCACCACGGGGGTACTAACCCCTGAGCACATTTCGCCGGAGCTGGATTTGATCTCAACTTCTCAACTTCTCATTAAAAGGATCAGCAAGACTTTGCGTCCATGGGGCGATATATTATTTGATCACAGCATCGAAAGCAATATGCTGTCAGTCGGTGTGCTTAAAATTTATTCTGAACTCTAAACTTTAATAGTTGGGATGAGAGGAGACGAAATGGGGTGTCAATCGGCACTACCGAAACGGGACCGCGTGCATAAGGGATCAGCATTGAATGTGCTTCTCAAACAAGGGGAGGGATGCTGTAAATAGCAGCAATGTAGAAATTAGACGGAACATTTAGGTTAGACTGGGTAGGACACTAAGCCCTTCAGCCCTATTTGCTGTATTGAGTGATCAGATCACTGTTTAGGTATCTTGAATTCTTACACCGGAATGTCTAGAAAAGCGGTGATGAGTGAATTTCTGAGGATGACACTTTCCCCAGACTCCGTGCTAACTATATTTATAATGCGTGCGCATTGTTGCAACACTCACAAATACGTAAGTAAGCCTGCACTTTTCAACAATTGCGTCTGTGTCTATAATCATCGTGCCCAACGAAGAACAAGTCTTTTGCCTTCTATTCAATTCATGAGGCAGCTTTCCCTCAAGCCAGTGAGATTATTAACCAGCATTCGCAAGCGTGTAAGGAGCTTAATCGGTGCTCTCTGAGGCGGTAGGTATACGGGAACGATCTCAAGTCAGAAAGATTACACATTAATTAAATTAAAATTTCTGTCCAAAAAGGCGAATCAAGCAACCTAGCCTCCATTTGGCGCCACACTCATGTCCATGGTTGGCTCAACTCGTTTGATCCACTAGCTGCGTAGCGCTATGCACCTCTTCCTGTCTTTGCACCTCTTCCTGGCTTTGCAGCTATGTTTATTCCATATTTACTCAAGCGCAAAACATCTCTCGGAGCTGGATGCCTCGTTACCCCACCCTTCAAGGAAATGTAAGCAAACCGCATATAAAGGCAGATGGGGGAGATGCAACTCACAGTGTGGCATAGTGACGATCTTTCCAGCGCCGAAAAACAAGAAAGTCAGCAGCATGTTGAAGTTGAAACCTGCATCAAATGCGGCGGCTAGGATGTAGTTCCATCTAGCCCATACGTCGTAGCGATAACGGTAAGCCCAGAACATCACAACAAAGCCGCCGATGAAGCTGCTGAAGTATCCGGTGCTAATGTTGCCGTAGAAGCTGGACATAGCTGAGAAGAAGATAGTCGAGTTCCATAGCTGGAACTTAGCACGCGGGAAAAGTCGGTGGAGTCCGTAGACCAAAATAGGCGCGAATGCACCAACAAGGAAGCCATAAGGGAGAACCTTGTAAATGTGCTGCTCGAAGAGTCGGCGCGGGCCAATGAGAACATACTGAACACCCATCGTCAGGTTCGATGTGAGAGACTGGGCTGTCCATTGATGGGCGGGATCCTCTTTTGCTCCCGTTAGGTAGTCAAACTTGGTGTCAAGGACCCATCTGACGACAGCATAGTTGATGGGCACGCCTAGGAAGGACCCGAAAACCTGGGAGAAAAACACAGCCTTCGGAGGGATATGCATATAGTGGCCGATCTTCATATCTTGTAGGTTCAGCTGGGCACGGTACCATGCATTACCGGCAATAGCTCCGTAAGCAGAGGCACCAGTGGGATTCTTGAAACCGCTGACCGAGTTGACCATCAAGCCGTATAGAAGTTCATTGACCGTTCCAATGGCCAACTGAAAGTTGCTGAGAGCGTATAGCCAGCCTAACGGCACAACGAGAAAGGCACCCGTTGCAATGGCAACAAAGTAGGTCCACACTGGGATGAACTAAAAACAACATCAGAAAAAGTCTTGTATAGGTGTCGAATGTGTCAAACATACCATGTTGCCGGTAGCTGTGATGGTGACAAGCGAGACAAATGATGCTGCAAAGAGCGCCAAAAACCACCACAGTGGGACCTCGTTGTAAGCTCGCTGCAGAATACTGAGCTGGTCGTTGTACTGTGAACTGATCTGGGAACCATTCTTCATACGCTGCATCATCTTCTGGAAGCTGCTCCTGATGGTTTTGTACCCAAAGAGACCAGCCCAAACGATGGCAGACGTATACGCAGCATAGTCAAAGAACATAGTCCAAAGCACGTGAGTGCTAACGAAAGGAGGGCCGAATTCCTGGTATGCCGTTTCGTTGAAGGAAACATCAGGGGTCAGGAGCTGGGTAATGGGATAAGATGTCCCGTTCTCGAGGAACAGCCGGTTTGACATCAAATGCCCATGCCATTCTCCCAGGTTACCGTATTTAGCAGCCGGGATCAAGACCCAGACGCTGAACACAAAACCGGCAAACATCACGACTTGCGTCCACCACGGGGTTAGAAACAAGCTTCCGTTCGTCGAGATATTGGACCAGTCCAACGAGATGTTCAAGAAACCCATTCCACCGAAGCCGGCGCCGACGAAATTCGCCACGGAGTTGTTTGGTGCAACCCAGCAGAGGAATGCCAAAGAGCCTAGCATGGGGAAAACGTATTCCGGGAGGAACTGCCATAACGTCATGCCGAGAAGAGCCCAGAAGAACACCTTAGTCTGCTTTCGGGACGAAGCTGTCGGGTTTTCGCGCTGCTTCTTCTGCGTTTCGAAAAGGGCGGTCTGGCAAAGAGCCGTGAACCACGGGAACTGGGGGTCGTATATCAGAAACTGTCTTGCCAACGCGGCGAACGAGTATCCGGTCCAGACAATCCCCCACATGAAAAAGATTGCCGCAGCAGGATGAATCCGAGAATTGAAGTACAGCTCAGCCATTGCTACTGGAGTATATCCGAGATTGTAAGTGGCCCCTGAAGCCGCGGAAATGGTAACCAGAACGTGTTCTTTGACGCTGAAGGGACCTGGATTGAGGTTGAAGCTGAACCTTGTCCAGGGGATTTTGACTTCCCAAGCTGGTAGGACCTTGGCGAGCCATACCCCAACGTAGCTCGACGCGATTTGTACAAAAAAGACGGAGTAAGGCGCGTAGGTCGTGCGGAAGTGGCTCATCATCGACAAGAAAGCTCCGGGAATGACAAAAACGATTGTGAGTAAGAAGTACCGAAATGTGAGGCACGGCAGTTCAGGGTCGTCATGCAACGAAACAATACGGCGCACGTAGGCCGGAATATCCTGCAGTCTGGGGTCGTTCTCATCGAAAGCCTCTTCTTCTCCATTGGCTTGCGTTGTAAAGACGAAAGGAGGCTTCTCGATATCTCCTTCTGTAAACGGAACGGCTGGTTCGTCCGAGGGCTTCTCGGCCGTGCCACTGCTGGGGGAACCAACGGAAATGGCATCACCGTCGCACAGGCTGCCAGCCTTTTGCTCACTGGTGGCCTGTTGTTGTAGGCTGCTGGACGGAGGCATGTTGATTGTCTCAAAGCGGCTGATCGCCAAGATGCTTGAAAAGGTAATGCCACGTGGGAGCCAAGTTAGCCAAGCCTGGGGGATCAAGGTCTTGTGCTTCCGGACCCAACCATCCGTCGCTGGGCATCGCATTTTTATATCAAGACCCGCCCAAGGTCAATCGCCTCACGACTTCAATATTTAGATAGCTTTCACTTATGGGAAGTGACTTGGCCTTTGCAACTAGTTGGCGGGGCCATGCGATGGTGTCATCGGCGTTTTTCGTTCTCATATTGCCTGCCTTGTGCAATGCCACGAGCCTGTTCGGATGTACGGCTTTCTCCAGTGGCGCCAACGGCAGATTTCAAAGCTGCAGGGTTTGCGAATGAGGTATAGAGCACCCGCAGGATCGTCCGTGTTTAGATCGTACTACACAGAATTTGCCGCAAAAATGTCACCAAGGCGGCTCAATCATATCATGACATCAAAGAATCCTCCAAATGGTGCCATAGTAGCCAGCAGAAGTTCCCGGAGCACTCATCGTAAGAGCATTGATATGCACTGGTTCAAAGCTTCCGCGCGGATTCTGGTACATAAGAGCAATTGCGCCATCGGCAAAAGTCCCTCAAGTCAGGATGAACCTCGATGATTACAACCACTAAACAGGCTAATGTAGATGGATATTGTGGGACACGGCCGCCCAACGGCGGGCGACCCATGCTAACCCATCATTGATTGACTGTGGATTTCGAGTACGTAAAGCTTAAAAATTCTTCCCATTGGGCAAGTACTAATTGAGAGCCAATAGTGAGGGCCGCTTGAGAGGTACTACATTCAGTTGTTTTGCATGTTCAAAGACTTGAGAATAAGTAATCTTGATACAAGTTTAAACTTGCCATAGAAAGAAGTCTACAAAATAAAAAATAAAGTAAAAACAAAAAATAAAACCCATGGTACAGAATTCTTGCTTTCAACTCGATTGATGGTCTCATCCCTAATTAATATTGTCACCCTCTAATTCCAAGGCCGAAGCTGACCACCTTTCTTTAACATGTAAGTCTGCCCCTTGAGCCATGAGCTCTCTGGTGCAAACTTGTCATAGACCACACTAGTGTTTCGGTCAAGAATCCGACTAAGATCACCGCCGATGACTGACAAGCCTCGGACGAAAGAGTTCTTGGTGACAACCCAGGTGCTCGTCTCATCGATATGCACGGTCATTCCTCCACGAACGTTGATGAGAGACGCGTTTGCGCCGCCATTCCATGTGCTGTTGGCTAGCAACTGAACGACAACATTGCAGCTACTTTGTGTGACGATGTCACCTGGAATACTCTTGGTTCTCATTATAGTAAGTGATGAGTTAGAGGATACGGGGTTTCCGCTCCAGCTCTGGGGCTCGATTTCTTCGAGGCCCCTCGATACTTTGTTCGTATCTGCGTGAAGAAGAATTCCTGAAGGATTGTCGATCCTTGCATCCATAAGTATAATCTCAGCTGAGAAGGTTGCAAGGTAAAAGGCTGGGCTCTCGCGGGCCGTAAGATGCAGGAAAGTCGCCTCCAGCGTGCCAGTACTATGCTGTGTGGTGATGGACTAATCGAAAAAGAGAAAAACGCCAATCGTTCCCGAAGTGACGACTGAACCGTTTAGATAGACGTACTGGGGTCCTTCCATGATAATGGCGGGAGATTCTTCCGCCCATCCGGTTGGGTTATAACACATTGTTCGCCCCAGAGAGTAGATCAATGGGGAGCCCGAGCCGGTGATGTAGGCAAAACCCCCACGACTGTTAATATTGAGTCCGGCAAGGGTAGGCGACCTGTAGCCACCCGAGCAGTGGCGGAGGTCGATGACATTAAGCGTAGCATCTTGGATGGTGAAGAGCCAAATTGCACCAGTGCCACTGCTGTACAATCGAGGGGCATCGAGAGTGACTGACGTTCCGGCTCCTGTAGCATATAGGTTGATCGATCCGTTGTGGGTTTCGATACTGCCAGAGAATCTTAGATTAGTCGTTTCGCCCTAGCTCGGTCCGGGTTAGTATTATCATGATAGAAGCCTCCAGGCGGCAGGTAGGAACCATTTACCGCTAGAATGGCTGAATTATGGCCAGCCCCAAGAGACCGGGGGAGATCTTCGGGTGCTCCGATCTTGACGACTTCTGCTTGTAAAAGTTCGACAATGGCCCCGGTCATGTAAAGCACGCTGGTCTGGTTGAAGGTGGTCGAATATACCTTCCCGGCCTCAAACGTCTGAGATTGGTCGAAGATTCTTTGAGCAACGACTGAGATGGAATAAGTATCAGGGCTGCTATATCAATTGCTCTTTGATCATGTTGAACTTGAGGTAGCTACTATCAACATACTTGGTCTGTTTTCGGTCGTGCTTGGGATGTAATTGGGGCGGACAGTGTTGTCGGTAGCCCAGTGACTGGCGTGGTAGCCATTGTCTAGACATGGATCCAGTTGTGCAAGAATTGGACTCTGGACGTTAATCTTAAGTCCCAGAATTACAACAAGCAATGCGACAGAGGTTCTCGTAGCCATGACTAGACCGAGGGAGACTGGGTGCTTGCAATCTATGTGCTTTAAGGGGATGACCCTGAACTGAACTTGTTTAAGTAACGTTTTTTGATACCGACAGACTCGTCATTCAGTGAAACAATAATCTAATGGTCTGAACTCATACAGTCTACAGACGGGTACGATCTGGTTTGTACGATGAAGAAGTCTTAGAAAATAGCGATGAAGTCTTGGTCGTGTAGCCACGTGCTCGATTTGTGGCCCCTCGGAGGATGTGCCGATATGTTAAGTCATTTTCCTTCTCACGAGCTAATGTTCTCTAGTCGCGCATTAGTATCTCATTCATCAGTATTTAGCATGATGCTCTGTTTAGAAAAAATGCATAGTCCAACACATTACTAACCGCCTCTCTTCATGCTGCACTCTGGAAGTTCTAATTTGATGGTTGTGACGACCATCGCGTTTTTGGGCTTGCTGAGCAGTACTGAGCTCGGAGACTTCCTTTGAAACATCTGAGAATCGGTGCAACGCGACAGGGGCTTGAATTTTAACGAAAAGGCGCAAGCGAGCCAATTCTGTTTCGTTTGTAGACGGGAATCTAAGACATTTAGATTGACTAGTGGCAGTTTGGTCCATCCAGACCTTGGTGCTTCGACGTCCAACTCACGGCTTCCCAACTGTGTTAGCAAAATTCACGTATCAAACGAATCATGTCATTGTTCAATTATTTATGAAGATTACGGACTTGTCCTACTGGCAATCATTACGTCGCAAGTGGGAAACTTAAGAGAGCCTTGAAGTATCACAGGACGAAAAGTGACAAAGTATCGGTTTGGCGTATGATTGAGTTTCTTGTCCCGGTCATTGCGAAGCTTACTCCAGAATCTCACCGTCGATTCCTTCTGTCCCATCGCGAGGACCCATGTACATGATATCGTGGAAAATCTGAACCCAAATATCATTCTCTTTTCTCCACCAATACTGCACCTTTACCAGAAGACTCTCCTCCTGGTCTACTTGAACTTCTAATGAGTCATCCCATAAATCTACTCTCATGCCAACCCATCCCTCTTGTACCGCCTGGTTCTGGACCTCTCCCGCCGAAGCAAAGCCAGCGGGGGCAACTTGTTCGTCGGTGCCAAATTCGTACTCAGCGTCTCGAAGTGGCCGAATTGTGTAGACGCCTCTCTTCTTGGATTTCTTGGCTGAAACTATTTCTGTTGTGTTGTTTTTGGAGGCGTACTCGTGAAGGTATCCCACGATGGTGCTCCGATTTTTAGCGGCAAAGGAAGGATTCGGGCGACATATTTGATAACAAGATAGACTGAAAAACGCTCCTTTGGCATCAATATCCGAAGTATGTCGATAAGAGGCGTATATCGTCTTCAGGTGAGTAGCGAGATCGTCATCACTCTGCGGGATACTCATAGCTAGATTGTGACGCCGACGATGGTGAGATTTCTGTTAAAGTAGTCTCGAGTTCACAAGGTGAATCAGGCAATATTGTTTGGACATATTAAAATTGAACCAGTATGTGGGTCTTGAAGCATTTATGTTCCAAGATGATGCCAAGTTGACATTAGCTGTGGCGTCCTGGCTGATCGCTGTCATTGGTTGAGTTAGGTCAGCTTTTAGCTTCATGCAAGACAGTCGCTATTTGAGCAATCACGTCGTCTTTCACAGCGCCCTTTCCGATCAGTGACTCATCAGCTTACACGATCACGAATGTGAACCACTACTCATGCGAACAACCGGTCTAGTTTGATGAACAACTATACTAGGCTTCGAGAAGCTGGGATGTGGTACACGCATGCTGTAAAGCAGATACCAGTCCTCAAAGGTACATTTGTGCCCTCATGGGGAGCTCTCACTGATTATTGAGAACCATGTCTATGAGGGAAATCATGATTGCCCTAAGTCCATTTTACCCAGAGAATCTGGGCAACTAAGCGTTCCGGATACACCCAAGACTTGGTCAACAACACCAAGGCGCCCATGCGCATGCAAATGCTTGTTTTCTGATGTAAACTTGGCTAATGTCAAGTTTTTGTTGCGCAAAACCCTGAAAGTTCCTCTTATCCGGAACAAGACGCAAAGCATTATCTGAGGTGCAGAAGCAATGTTCCGAGATCCGTTGAATAAAAGGAGGTGTGCAAATGCCTATCTGTTGCTGGGAGCCTGCCGTACGCAGCAGGGTTATCAGGTTGGAAGTAGCTTGTATTCCCTCAGTACAATCCAACGCGAAGCCAGTTATAAAGTCAGGGCCGCTGACAAAGCTGGTCGAGTTTGCTTGGAAAGTAAAGCTGTCTATCTAGGCAGAATCGACTCACACCACGAGGAATCGTGATAGTATCCTAGGTTTGAAGTAAGCAAACGGCAAATTCAAGAGATCAAGAGCTGCTTTGTATTTGTTTTCGAAGGGTTTCTTAGGTGGGGTTCTCTACAACTTTGGAAAGGCTGGATCATCGGCTCGTCCACATACACACAAACACCTGTTTC